TAGACATTGGAGGTGTGTATGCTGCTATTTTGTTTCACCCCATTTAAAGGAGTGTAAAACACTTTTTGATTCTGTATTCCACACCTTAGGTTCCGGATTCCAACTGTTAGTGGGATCCGCATTCCTTGAGCTGTATTCCGGATTCCAGAAGCGAAGATTTCCCGGATTCCGGAATCCGCTTGACGGTTAATAAGACCATAGTTGGAACACTGATTAGTAGACTCTGGAGTAGATCTGCTGTTTTTTTATTGACACTGTTAGAATTGCCGTTTATTTTATTGTTTTATGTTCTTATGAGTGTGTGTCAATTTTTTTTTGCCCAGGAGGCACGCTTGACGTCACCGTTCATGAAATTGATGACGACGGTAACATAAAAGAGATTTACCAGGTGACAGGCGGTCCTTACGGGGGAATCAAAGTGAATGAGCAGTTTGAAAGTCTCTTGGATGAGTTGTTTGGGGAAGAAAAGCTCAAGCAGTACCGAGAGCAGTTCCCAAGTGATTGGTTGTCTTTGATGAACGAATTTGAAGGGAAAAAGCGTGGAAAACGTATCTTGGACAGTAGCTTGATGACAAATATCCGACTCCCACGCAGTTTTGTGTCATTGGTAACTCAGTCCCGAAGTTCTGCAATGGAGCGCTATGGGAGCAGGGAAATAAAGTTAAAAAACAACGAATACCTCTCCCTCAGTTCAGGAATGATGAAGAAATTGTTTACTCCTGTAGTGGATCAAATTAAAGAACATGTAAAATCATTACAAAGGAAACCACAGCTCGCGAAAGTACAAACTATGCTCCTTGTTGGAGGTTTCGCTGATTCTGCATTCTTACAAGAAGAAATAAAAAAAGAATTTTCAAGAAAATGCACAGTCCTTATTCCCCACCACGCCAACGCTGTAGTTGTCCAGGGTGCTGTGATGTTCGGCAAAAAGCCAGCAAAGATAACGCAAAGAGTCACGAGCACAACATACGGTGCTGACTGCACAAGAAATTTCATTGAGGGATTTCATCCAGAGGAGAAGAAGTTTCTCGTTGATGGTATCGAAAAGTGCCATGATATATTCAATCGTTTTGTAAAGGAGAATGAAGTTGTTAAAGTTGGTGAAAGAATAAAGAAAACGTACCATCCACTGAGACCGAACAGAAAAACCCTAAGTTTTGGCTTCTACATCACAAGCAACCCTAATACTCAATACACTACCGATCCTGGAGTAACTAAAATTGGAAGTCTGAAGGTCCAGTCTCCTGATACATGGAGAGGTAAGGACAGGGACATCGAGGTCAGTATGTATTTTGGTGGAACGGAAATTACCGCCACGGCCTGGGATATTTCAAGTGGTAACAGAGCGCAGACAACATTAGACTTTTTCTGTCGATCTTAGACACTGAAAAAAAGAACAAATAATTACTGTAAAACAGACTCGCGTGAACTCCTAACTGTTCCTTAAGAGCTTTTTACCTTTATATTCTTTAGGAGCATTCGGTGTTTTTACATCAATTAAAAAGAAGAGCTTAAAGCAGCAATCTTGGATTTCACATAAAGCCAATATACTGCTACACTTGTATTTCGTCTTAACCTGGATTTGTTTTACTTGTTTTGCATTAATTTTCCAGTATCTCTTTACATAGAAAAAGAATTGAATTATTGTAATTATGATTAACAAAGGGTGTTTATCTTATTCATATAATTAGCAAACTGACAGTCCAACTATAATGTGTCTCAGGAATGGAGGAAGAGCAACCAAAGGCTGTAGCTTTTGACTAATATTATTAATCGAGCTTTGTAAAACTAGGGAAAAGCATTATTAGGGAGTGGTGAAATTGTCGTACCCCTACAGATTTGCATTGTATACTTGATATGTACAAACCTGAGTTTTATGTAATGTTAACAAGTTAAGTGACTGAACAATTGCTTTTCCCTACGGCCCTCTAACATTGATCGCTATAGCATGAGGGTCCAAGCATTATACAGGTATATGATTTAGTAAATTTCTGCATCTTTGTAGGAGATTGTTTTGAACACGGTTATGATTTTATTTAAAATCAACCTCATCTTACATAACAGTTTCACGATAGCTATAAGAATGCGTAAATGAAATAAATAAAATACGAACAGTGTGGTATTGGAAGCGTATTACTCGTCGCCTTAGTATTATCCTATAGAAGGCAGCTCTTATCATCTTACTACCAAAATAGGGTGTTTCTTGGAGTTACGGATTTTTTTCTTGGTTCGCTTTTCTGTTTGTTTGTCTTGTTTTGTTTTTGTTGTTTTTTTTTTCCTTCACAAAAATGGCTTGACTTCATGCCAGGTAAAATTGAACTGGCAGGCTAACGAAAGCAGGACCCGAATCACTCCCTGCAGCTTTAAAATCGCGGATCGAATTATTTTTGCCCCACCAGATTTAAAAAAGAAAAAAAAAACGACGCACTTGGTGTTTAGGTGTAGTTCTGATTTCATGATAACGAAATTTGACCTACAATTTTACCATTGCTTCGCTAATCAAGCTGGGCTTTACCCACCTTTTTTAATGACTCCCAACTACTATTTTTTTTATCCCTTTTCAACGCCTCAGTGCAACGCAGGCTAATTAGCTTGACAACCCTTCATGGTATAATAAAAGAGCACTTATTCAAAATACCAGAATTTCACCATTTAAAACACTGAGGTTCAAGCGTCCTGGCAACTCAGGTTTTTCAGACGTGTTTAAGGTGGCTGAACACAGTTTTGCGGGCGGTCAGCGGTAACAAACTTGACGGCGCGTGTTTTTAATTAGACGAACAAACATAGCGGTGAGAAGGTAATGATGCACAGTAGACAATTTCTCAAAATCTACTCATTGAAATCTTGTGATATTTGGCAGAATTTTTCCCAGAATTTTTCCCTTAATTGTATTTCTCACTTGCCATGTTTTAGCTCGTTAGCTGCAACCTTTCTCTTGCTACGATTTGGCAAATTACATGTACTCACAAACTGCCAAAACTGTGTTAAGGTTAGCATGTTTTAAATTGTTTTTAAACTAGGAATTATTTTGAATGAACAGTAAAACAATTATTGAATTGGACTTTCGTATGATTTGAAGAATTCTGCAGATCTAACACCCCCCCTCGATTTCCATAATTCTTCAGATCATACTAAAGCCTCATCCAATAATTGCTCTTTATCTCTCTCTTTCAACGCTGGTACAAATGTCACCAGCTCGTCTCCTTGCATCTTTGCAAAACACTAATTAGGCACGAAATATGAAAGGTACATTGATGTTAAGTTCTATAGTGATATGCGTAAAGTGTACACTATAACTCATGAAAAAAGGGCAAAGATCAGAGTGCAACTACTCATTTTTGGTTAAGAAGTCCAGGTAAGCAGTGCACTGCTTATTACTTGTTGGATTAACAACTGTCACCTTTATTTCCGTTCCTCCAAAGCTCAAGTTTATTTCGATGTCTCTCGTTTTCCAAGCTTCCGGTGTCTCTAGTACCAATCCTTGGCAGGGGACCTTCTGTACGCCGTAATCTGTAACAAATTCCGCTTCAGCGATTTCCGACCGGTAGAAATCGACCTTAATTCGCTTTTGGTCTCCTGTCAAAGGTGCAAAGCCAGGGAAACGACGAATTTCGCCGACTCTTACCACCTCGTCCACTTTCACGAACTTGAAGAAGATATCTTTGCATCTGGAGATCCCGTTGACGACAATTTTTTTGGACTCGGGATGAAGACCATCGAGAAATAGCCTGTGTACACGGATGCCATAGGAAGCAGTCATTACTCTAGACTGGAAGACCTCAGGGTTTTGGCCAAACATAACGGCTCCTTGGACAACTGCAAGTGAGGCGTTCTGAGGAACCATAATGCGATAACTGTGGCCGAAATGCCTTTTTATTCTCTCTTGAAGTAGTGCTGACTCCGCAAACCCTCCGACAAGAAAGACGTATTTAACTCCAGACAAGTTCTCCATGGCAAAAAGGTTTGAGAGATGTGTATTTATTTGATCCAAGACTGGGTCAAAAAGTTCTCTCATGACTTTTGCTTCAAGACAAAGGTACTCGTTCCGTTGAACCTTGATGTGGTCAAGACTGTAATGCTCTTGGATAAATGTGTTTATATCCCAGCCCTTTCCAATCGAGAATTTGCTCACAAAGCTGTTTGGCAAACGAATTCTTGTGGTTGCTCCTTGAGAGACCCGTTTTCCGCGTTTTTTGACCTCAAAGTCATTCATTAAGTACAACCAATCGACTGGATGTTCACGGATATAATCTTCAATTATTCGTTTGCTACAAATTTTTTCCAGAAGTTCTCTGAACTTGATATTTATATTTTGTCCACCAGCAGGACCGCCAGTTGCTTGATGGATCTCCTTTATTGTACCGTTTTCTTGGATCTCATGCACAGTCACGTCGAGAGTACCACCTAGCAGATCAAAGACGGAGCATTTAGAAACACTAAACAGTAGGGTTTGTCATGATTATGTAGATAAAGATTAGGATAAGAATGAGGATGGCGATGATGATGATGAAGATGAAGGTGAAGATGAGGATGAAAAAAACGATGAGGGTGATGTAGATAATGGTGAGTCAACCTCGTCCCCAGGGCTTTTCCCTAAAAAAAATGGGTGGGGCGGGGAAAGGCCCTGGCATCGTCTGGTCACGTGTACAGCCTAAATATTCCTGACAAGCTAAACCCGCTGGTTTTGCACTGACAGAAGGCAACAACAATGGAAAATACTAACGTCGCGAACTATGTCAATATTTTCGCGTGTGTGCGATTCAAAAGCTTAAAGGGACAGTGTCCCGATTATGCGCACGCGCGAGCGTCATCTGTTTTTTCTTCAAAAGACAATAGAACTGTCAAATTGACTCGACAAGATTTCCTTCCGGACCGCACCGCCGACAGAGATTTGTTGTTTATATTCTCAAGTAATATTTCACACTTTCGAAGAAGTCTTTCGTCGTATATAAAAATTTGGCTCGCGGTTCGAAGACTCATCGCGATTTTATCGCTAGCTGGGCCGCCTCGCGACCCGAAAATCTCGTTCCGCTCGCTTTAAAAACATATCTTCTAATTTGAAACTCGTGTCAGAGGTCAGTAGCTCCAAGTCCAGTAATATCTGCCTGATTTGCTCGCGTTCTAGCCTCAAACGTTTGAAAGACATAAATAAAAATGCAATCTCAACGCTATGAATCATCACAAAGGTTAGTCAAAAATGATATTATGATTTCATGTCACTAGTTTTTCAAAACAAGTAGCGCCTGTTTGTTCGATTTTGTCGGCCGTAGGGAGATTCATTCAAAAGTTTACTAACGCGTCGTTGGAAAACATTCTGCTTCACGAAGCTCCCCTCCACAAGATCTCCTCAGTCACATCAATGTCTCAAAGGTTTCTTTCTTACAGTCTTTATTGTTGCTGTTTCATTTCTGCGTATTCCTTTCACAATTATCTGAGCTTGTATGGAAGCTAGCAGAAGAAATAAGCCTTCAATCGGCATCAAAGTGCTTCTAATCTTTTGGTCCTCCGGCCAACGGCAATAAAAGTAACGCCAAAAAATCCAGATTTTGCCCAAATCGAAACTTAACAGGAACAATATATCATTGATCTATAATCCTGAGAAGGTTTAGTGTCGTATTGAACCCGGCCAAGCGCGATGCAAACGGATTTTTCAAGATTCTCTTACTCTCCTCGCATCTTTTGATTTCGCGACATCCTGTCCAAAAATCAAAGTTTGGTGCATGCGCAGTAACGGGATACTGTTCCTTTAAGTTCCATTTAATTGCGCATTATTCAAATGCAAGAAGTTTATGAAAGGGCAGACCGGCTCTACGTTGTCACGTACAAAATATGTCAAATGCTTCAGCGTTGAGACAAGCTGTTAGGGACCAGTCATAATTTAAGTTGGAGGGGGGAGGAGAAATTGGGGGGCCTTCAATTTTTTTGGGATGGAATATGGGGGGCCTTAAAATGCCAAAAGATGACCTTGGGGGTTCTTCAAGTTTCTTTTAAGTAGCATCCCTACTGAGCAGCATGATGTTTGAGTATTAAAGGACCTGACTTTGATTCAGTTTTACACAAAGTCCTATATTGTGTAATACTAAAACAATTTAATCAGCATTTTTACAAAAAGATTTAATGCTCAAATAGGTAGGTGCATCAACACAACATCCAGTATTGTGTAACACTGAAACAATTTAATCGGCATTTTAACAAATGATAACATGCATAAAGTCATGTTATGCAATCTCACTATCCGAATCATTATTTGTAGATGAGGTTGATGCGGACTCACTGTCTGTGTCACCGTCAAGTTTTTCGCTATTAGAGCATGTACTGCTCATATAAAAAGCAGTAAGCTTTGGCTGATTATCTTCTTTCTTCCTTGAAGTCGTCCTGTCGGCCTCTCACCTTTCGATGGCTTGTCTTATCTCAATTATAACACAATCACTGATATATCCTTGCTCTATAAGCAGTTTGAGAGGCTATACGTGAAATCTCTTTCTCAGTTTAGTGTGAAGTGCTTCTCTGTTGTTAGTTGGCACATTCGGAAGTGACAGTGAGTAAGAGCGGTAAAGTAAAGAAAATGTTATTTGTTATTACCATTTGGGTATTATGTATAAGAAAGGGGGGCCCTTAAATCTTTTAACATGATTGAAGGGGGGGGGGGGTACCTAAAAAACATGGGTGCTAGTAGTGGGGTCTGGAAAAAATTTGGAATAAAAAACAATTTCTCCTCCACTCCCCCCTCCAACTTAAATTATGACTGGTCCCTTATGTCCCACTTCGACCACAGGGTCTTTCAAAAGTTCGTTCCGATTGTAAATTGTATTTTACGCAAAGCATTTAATGCTTCTTTAGGCAAATGTAAACTGATTCAGGTAAGACATTTATCTAAATAACCGTTGAAAGCAATTTCAAACTAGAATTTGAAGAAATTATATATTTTTTTAATTTTTGCCCTAACTGTACACGTACACGAGGTTTTTCCCGCCATACTTTTCCTGCTCATTTTGAAGGTTTTCTATTTTGGTATTTTTAACGCTTTCTTTTATTTCCTCTACTCCTTCACGAAAATGAAGGCGTACACTGTTTGTGCTAGAGCTCAGGCATCTAATTTTATGGTCTTCTGGCCATTCAGTCCAAAAAAAATTGAAGAAGTCTGAACGATGACCGAACAAGTGGTCAAAAGTAAAGACCTTAGAACACAAACCAAGGAGTGGATGGCCGTTTTTTCACAAACTGTGTGAGAAATATTTTCGAAAAAGCCGTAAGTATATGCCAAATTATTCCACAAAACAGAAAGGTAAAAAAAATTCAACTTTACATTATCGATCAAAGTTTCGAGCACAACGGTATGGGGATAAGTTACCAGAAAAGGTTGGAAAGCCTTGAACAGAAAAAGGCGGTGCACACTTCATGCAGGCTTGGTGTCAGAAGGATTTGCAAACTTTACACCAAAGGAGGACCGGCCGGCAAACTCACTTGATGTGAACCCCCTAGAGACCATCTGGATTATCGTAGATGAGACAACATACAAAGCTCCCGCCCCCAAAACACTGGACGAGCTAAGACAGTGACTACGCTTCGCCTGGAAGAATGTGACTTTGGACACGCTTTGGGAGCTCGTACATTCTATACCTCACTGCTTAGAAAATGTCAGAAAACATACAAAAAGACATTCTGTTTACTAATATTTTAGTTATTCAATGTTGAGTGAATAATGAATAACATACCAAAAGTTTTAGAAAAGGATTTTTTTTTTTAATTAGTGAAATTTAAGCGAATAAAAAATCGGAACGAACTTTTGAAACACCCTGTAAACTTCATCGTGACTGTGGAATTACTGAACAGTCAAGCGGGAAGTGATTTTGTCCAATGTCAAACAAAAATGCGGGCCTTTGCCTTCAGGATCTGCAGTGAATTTAAAGAAATTGAACTTAATTGAAATAGAATAGTTCATCAAATGCTTTATGAAGTCTGGTCTTCTCTACAACCCGCGACCATGAAACAAACAAATCTCCGCGCCGGATACAAGTCAGCCCTCAAGCCAGGAACGATGACAGGTCGCCGATCTGAAACATTTGAAGAACTCTTATATCTTTTCTATTCCGAGGATAAGTACAAAGGATTTTCCTTATATCAAAGGGAAGATTGACTGATCGATTGGAATCAACTACAGCTCTGTCAATTTTAAATAGACCCATTTTTTTTGTTGCCATTCGTTTGATCGCAGAGGTCAATGAATTTTTTAAAAATACAGGTCATACAGGATAAGTCTAAACCAACGCGTGTCAATATGATATGGCTGAGAGTTAAGGTGAATAGAACTAGGCTATGTACGGCGGCCCACTTCGCAAGAAATGAAATAAAATATCAGAAGAGTAGAGAAAGCGGACTTTTCCAACACAACCTTTATGCACGTACGATAGCTTGTTTGTCATTTATACCGCTCTATAAACAGAAGTTTTACAAATATTACTCGCTGTCCCCTTCATAGAAATAGGAGGAAAGCAAAAAATTATCATAGCCAGTATCTGTGACATAAAGGAAACCTTGTAAAACTTTTCGTTAATCGTCAAGAGATATAAAAGGTTGCCCAAGATCGCGCGCTGTGAGGTTACGCATAATTTTAGCTTTTCACATGGCGCTAATTTATTACACCCAGGATTCTAGGGTGTGCGAGGAGACACGTGACCAGCCGATGCCAGGGCCTTTTCCCGCCCCACCCATTTTTTGAGGTAAAAGCCCTGGGGACGAGGTTGATGGTGAGGATGATTAGGACAAGGTGGGTGAAGATGATGATGATGATGATGATGATGATGATGATGATGATGATAATGACTGTGATGATTGTAAGGATGGAAATGATGATGATGATGATGATGATGATGATGATGATGATGATGATGATGAAAATGAGGGGAAGACGGAGGGTGAAAATGATGATGATGATGATAATGATGATGATGATGATGATGATGACTTCACTCCTTGAAGAGCTCTGGATGACATGCTTAAAACTATTAAGATCAGTAGTTAATTCTGTAATTCATTTTTCGTACCTCCGATGTCGACCACCACGTACTGCGTTTTTGGATAAGAAAGAGTGTCGATCAATGAAGACTCAGCGCTCCCGCACTCATTGATAAACTCCCACACTTTACGCTCTCTGCAGTATACTGAGGCCGCCTCAGGCTCTAATGCAGTAAGCACCTGCTCTGGATTGGATGGTGATGCTAAGCCCGCCTAAAATAACAGGGAAATAGTTTTAAAATGACTCACAACAAGACGCCAATTCTATCTAACCACCTTGTCTCCCACCTCCAAAGCCAGGGAAAAGCACCCTGGGGACGAGGTTGTGTATCTAATTCTATAAGCTACTGTCTTCAGCAAGCAGGTTTATCTTTGCTATTATTGTTATCGTTATCGTTGTCGTTGTTGTTGCCATTGCCGTTGCCGTTATTATTATTATTATTATTATTATTATTATTATTATTATTATTATTACTATTATTATTATTATCATAATTATTATTATTATAATATTGATTGTGATCTCAGGCTTAAAGGGTTTACATTGCTTGGTCAATAACTATTGAAGCAAGCAATAACAAGCTCCTAAAGGTCCCAAAGCAGTCCTCACTCTGATACTAACGTGTATATTTCGAACATATCGGATACAGCTCTCAATGTTCCGCCGATCACAATTCGCTAAGAGGCACATATAATATAATTTAAACGTTAAATTCGAAAACTGATGCAATGGTACCTTAATTTTTATTAGCTTTGCTAGTGTAAGCATTTTAGGTGACCCTCCATTTCTCAAGTTTTGCGCTTCTCTTCTCTACTCGAACGTTTTTGCTAACAGAGTTTAAAATTTCCAACCATTAGGCCAATCAAAATTTGTATCTTCAGAATATTGTATACCTGCCAACTCTCACGCCTGTGGTCTAAAGACATCGATCTCACGCATCAAGGACAATTCCTCACGCCTGACTCGCAAATGAGGACAAACTCTTCTTTAACACATGATGACTTTGTGTACTTTTTTGTGTTCTAACTAGACTGCAAAACAGTCGGTCTTTTATCTTCAAAGTCGGTTTAGCGTAGCGAAAGAATAGCGTTAGAGTCTCACGCGCGTGAAGAGCTCGAGTTTCACACGACTGTTCGCAAGTACTTTAATACGCAAAAGAACGGACTGTTTTGCACACTATAACGAAACAAAAGCTCGCTAAAATTGTCGTCTTTTAAGTAGCTTCGGAAGTACTCAAACGTCTTCGGAACGTCTGGGGACATTTAGTTTTCAGCAACGTTCGGGAATCGTTCGGAAGTCTTCGGAAATTCGTCGGAAATTTTCGGAAGTCGCCGGGACGTTTCCCGAAATCTCGTTCATGACAAGGTGAAAATCTCCCGCATTCCACTCAGAAAAATTGACAGCTATAATATTGGGACGGGGATCGTAAGGAAGGCCAAAGGAGACCTTATTTGAATCATCACGGTAAAAACTTGCAACTGTTTTTGCACCGCCCTCGTTATCAACCATCGCACGCTGGCGCGTTCTCAGAGGAGTGCAATTCATTTACAACAGATGTTACATTTACAGTAAATCATTAACGAAATATGACATTTAAGTGTCTTGCTGCTAAGATTACCCCCAAAACGCACATTTGATCACATTGTCAGACGAAAAGAGTGGGACAATTCTATTTAAGGCCTTAAAAACGGGTTATGAAGAAAATAAGGGACAATCGGGTCCTTTGTCAGTTGTCAGTGAAACCCAAGGCAAATGCCAAATTTCACGCCGGAAATTTCGACACAAAATTTTCGTGCTAATTATATGAATAAGTTTCTTTTAATGATCTAAGGCGCTGTCAGATCTCGGTGAGGGTAAAAGGCGGAATGAGTTTGCAGAATGGCATGTGGCATGGTTTGCGGAATGACATAATTATGCGGAATTTAATTTACGGAGCTGAATGATCCAAAGAAATAGATTAAACTGAAAAGAACGCCCTTTTTTGGCGCCAATCAATTTGCAAACGCAGCCGCTGTTTTAATGTTGCGGGCTTAACATACGATGACAATCAAAAAACCACGCTCATTGTCGACCAGCCTTTTCGGCACAGCCAAAAAGATTCTTCCTCTATTGAAGAAAAGATGTTTTCGAAGGTCACGCTCCCTTCTACTTTAATTTTTTCTGCAAAAGATGTTTGTACAATTAACTTAACAGTTTCTTGTTACCTGTATTTGTATTCGAAACCGTACGTGATCGTGACATAACTGACAATATTCAGAGATGAATCGAATCTTGTATTTTGTTTCCTCAGTTGCGAACTTGAGACGTGCGAAACAGAAAAATCGACCAAAATCTTAATTTCGTGGCAAGAGTTGAAAAATCAATTTCTTTCATTTTTGTTCATAGATAGCTTTTAGGAATATAAGAAACCTAACGTAGATTGTTCCCGCCGAAAGCCTTTTATTCGTGAGAAAGAATAGAAGATCCATTCGGTTTTCGATGTCGGAGTCTCATCAACTTTCCTCGTGTTCGCAAACGAAGCTGGATGGAGAAATTTGGACACTTTCCACGAACAGAAAAAATCTTTTCCTTCCACTAGAAGATACTTTCTGGACAATAGGGAAGCTGGTCGTACTGAAATAATTTTAAAAATGAGGGATAGGTTTCCAGGATAACAAAAATTTAAGTTCGTTACTCATTTTCGACGGCAAGATTTAACATGTGGTATAACTCCAAATTCTCTTCTTGCTATTTAAATCACACACTTAGACATTCATTTAAAACATACCTGGGAATTGGCTTGGGTAAGTGAAGGAAATCTCTGTAAGACACCATCGAAGTTCAGGAATTTTCATGGTAGGCGGGCGGTAATTGTCTGTATTTTGCACGTGTAATTAAACACTTCCAATTTCGAAACGCACATAAATAGATATTTACAGCCTAAAGGATCGTTTTTCGTACGTCTTGTAGGTTTTCCCTTTGCAAAATTGCTTTTTTCAATCAAAGAATGGGGTTAAAAGGTGAAACTGGGTCAATTTTAGCCATTTTGAAACACTGAACTTTACCTGCCCGCGACTCTGCGTGACAGTCTGTTCCGTGACTGCACGTGGCACAACGTACGTTTGAAGAGACGGAGCTGTCAAAATGACAGTCACGAAATCAAGGTAGTAACGCAACGAAATTCTTGATCGAAGGAGTAACATTTTCGGTGCCGACAGTTTTTGAAGAAGCAAAAAATCAAACGCACAAGTATTTATTTTGGTCACGCCTCACTATATTTACCGGACTTCAATGCTTTCGTTTGGAGGCTGCCTTCAGGAACCCTAGCCGTCTCAGGTATGTTTTTATATGCGTGAACCAGTAAAGCAGTTGCTCACTCAAATTGGCGCCAAAAAAGGCGCGGCAATTACGCGCGCATGCCTTTCAGTTTAATTTATTTCTTTGCGCCAATTTCCACATTTTACATTGCGCATAATTTTGTCATTCCGCAAGCCGCGCCACATGCCATTCCGCAAACTCATTCCTCCTTTTACACTCACCGTTGAGATCTGGCCGAGTACGGGCTCATTTTTACGATACACAAACATGACCATATTTACACTCAAAAAGAAGCCGCTGAACGAAAAAACTGTCAATTATTCTCAAATGTGTATTATCTCTCGAAAGAGACGTTTTGCAAGAAATTTGGACGATTTTTCCCGGAGATATTGAATATCGGAAAATTTCGCCGTGGAGTCCATACTGAAATTTACGGTGTTTTCAAAGTTAAAAAACCGAAAGAACTTTCTATCGGGAAGTGCAAAATGTAACTGGACCTGAAAGTGAGCATCTTTAACTCGCAGAACCGATGCAAAGTGGTTGTACCCGACGAACTTGGACGCGAACTGGAACACTTTAACTGGGCCCTGTTTCGGCGTTTTATCGCCGACAGCCATACAAGTCCTTTACAGTCAATTTGCACATCTGTTTACCTTAAAACCGAAACGGATAAAACCTGCAACTGAGGTACGTATTCATTAAGTTTAACATAAATACTACTAGGATACTTGCGCATGTTGATTTGAAATTTCTGGCGATGGTTAAATTTTAGGCTATTTGTCAGTTGTCAGTTGACCCAATCCAGACTCTCTGCCTCTCGGGGTATGTTGGTACCACTGATCTGCACGTTTCAGTTTGACCTTCCTACTCAGTTGCCAGTGCACATACTGCACTGGTCACACACATTATTATTATTGTTATTATTATTATTATTATTATTATTATTATTATTGTTATTATTATTGTTATTATTGTTATTATTGTCCTGCAAGACATCTCTGGCGAACATTTAAACAGAGGATCTAATAAAGCTCAGGATGCGAGGTTAGATATCTGCACACATGGTTTCTGGGAATGCCATAGATCAACATTCTTCGATGCGAGGGTCTGTCACCCTAAAGCTGTATCATATAGGGACTTAAAGCCACAACAAATTTATCGTATCCATAAGAACGAGAAAAAGTGTCTCTACTCAAGGAGAGTTCTGGACATCAAGCATGGAGCATTCACACCTTTGGTCTTCACCACAACTGGCGGAATGGGAAAGGAGTGCTTGATGTATCATAGCCATTTAGCAAAGCTGATTGCCATCAAAAAAGGGTAGCAGTATGCCAAAACCATCTCATGGATCAGAACCAGAACCTCATTCGCACTCTTGAGATCTGCGTTGGCTTGTCTTAGAGGCTCTGGGACAAGAAGAGTGCCATGTGACATTACGAATGTTGCTATTGACGTTCAAGTTGTTGAAGGTGCCATTCAATCGGACTATTGATGTGTTTCCTTATTTTTAAATGTTTTTTTTTTCATCGATCTCTTAATCTTTAGTTACATCTTCTTATTGGGAAATTGGTACGGAAAATGAACAGCAATAGATTTATATTTCCACTCATCGATCCGAATCTTATCCATATTATTAGAATCAGGGCATTGACATTTATCTCATCCATTGACACTTTTGACTTGATTTTTTTTATAACTCTATGAGATTTCTTGGAATTTTGAATTGGGAAGGGGTTTTGCCAGAACTTTGTATTGATCTATGAATATTTTACTGAAGTTTTGTGTGCATCTTTTTATAAGATTTTAATAAAATTAGTGTCATTATTAAAAGTTTATTATTATTATTAATTATACAATTTAGTCTTATTAATAAACCAAAAGTGTGTATCTTTAAAAAAAATTATTACTCTTATTATTATTATTATTATTATTATTATTATTATTATTATTATTATTATTATTTTTGTTGTTATTGTTATTTTGTATATACTCTCAGTGTTGATCAACTCCTAGCCAGTTCCAGGTACAGGTCACACCCTGCAACCTTAGTAGTCAAGAACCCGTCAGAGGATTCATGCTATTCCTATTAAATATTAGGCAGTCTTTTGAATCTGAGCCACATCAAGATTCACACCTATGCTCTCAAGATGGCCAACTAATCCTTTTGGGATTGTGCCCAGTGCTCCGATAACAATTTCCACAGTTTTCTCAATTCTCTTTCCATGTCTTATTATTATCATTATTATCATCATCATCATTATCATTATCATTATTTCTGTTATTGTTGTTGTTGTTTTTTGTTCTTATCAATCGTATAAGATTTCTAGCCCTTTAAACGGTAATTTCAATTGTTGCCACTATTTATACATGTCCTAGGAAATATAGGAGCAAAGTAGTCAAAGTGCCAATTAGGTTCATCTTGTGAGCTTTAAGCATGGAGAAATTTAATGCTGATCACTCTCAATTTTTAAAAGGTTAAAGAAGAGAACCAACATTGCGAATAACACATTAAAATGATAGTTGTTTTTAAACGCCTTACTTTATATGCTGCTTCTCTCATAAATTGCTTAGCTGCTGGCTTCCAAATTGCCGGCACAGTCAGCACCCATTGCACATCACCATAGCCGAAGTTTTCATCACCAGTTCTCTCCCGGATAACTTCAACGGCTTTCGTGCGGATATAATATATTGAATATGTGAATATGGTCAGAGCGTCCATATCTCTCCCGTTGCTTGCCTTCAAAGTAGTTTCTCTGTTCAAGTTCTAATTGAAAAATAACAAAATGCTTGTAATAATGTCAACAGCTCGGGAGCACTAGCCAACACGTTTATATTCAGAAAGTAGTTGGGAAGAGGGCTGGGTTATGTTGTGAATTTGCCTTAGGTTTCAGCAACAAATCTACGTTACAATACTAATTATTTTGACCAATTGGAACCCCTAAAAATAATTGGAAGCTTAATAGAAGTATTACCTCATCTTTGTGAAGAACCATTTTAAATTTTTCAAAGTAATAATATTCTCTGGCCTCCTCCTCCTCGAGTTCAGCAAATCTATCTTGTGCTTCATATCCAAACGAATTGAAACTCTTGTTTGGGTTTAGCAGCAAGCAGGTGGGAGCTTTCATTGTAGCGTAGCCTTGATCTGTCCCCCATTCTTTATTCATATGGATACCTTTCTCTCCATCTTTGTGGTTGAAGGCGAAAGCAAAGCCACTAAAGGTTGTGCCAAAATCGATGGCAACCACAGCAATATAGGTTGCACCTGAGGTGACTAAAAGCTCATCCCCCTCTTCTTTATACATAACAATCGAAAAATAAACAATTGAATAAATCAATACATAAATAAAATACGTGAGCAAGTAAATATAGTTGAGATATCAATACATTTTCTTAAATTCGTAAAGTCCACAGTGTATAATGCGTCTTTAAAAGGAGTTTACGAAGAAAACTTTTATTATACAGTAACTGATGTGCCGGAAATTTTACTACAAGGAGCATAATTTTGGAATGCTAGCCTAACTTTTATTTGTACTTTGCACAGAAGACCCCTTATAAACTCAATGACAAATTGCCGCAGTGCCACATAACTTATCGCACAATAACCAAATTCGCCATTCAAGCCAACTGCGGCTAAGACATCCGCCCAAAGATGTACAACCACCACTCGCAGATATCGCTATAGAATGGTGTCTTTCATGTTATGTAATTTACCCTCTTCCGAGAAAGGTGCAAGGTAGCTTTTTAAAGAAAAACGGATCACAACACTGCGACTAAACATTCCTTCAGTTGATCTTGAATTTTCCAAGGATCGGACAAATGAGGTCACGCAGATCGAAATTACAATCATTAATATTTATTTACGTTTTATTTGATCGAGGTATTCAGAAAACTATGTCTTAAAGTGGAAATTATTCACTAGATGAATAATAAAACATTGTCGAATTCGGTTTTCTTACGATATAAAAAAAATTTAGATCTAGGAGGGTGTAATAACCTTCTTTAAATGGCCCAAATCAAACCTTTTCTGTTGAGATGAAGGGGATCAAGGGGAACTCAGAGGTGAGCTGATTTGTAGTATTTGATATGTGTTTTCTCACTGCTTTCAACTCAACTTCACAGTTCAGAACCATGCAGATCATTTTCAAAAACCGCGCAGCATGATTTTCGAGTTGTCCACCAACTTTAAGGGAAATTGCGAGCATGAGAGCGCTTTCGAGCGGAAGCGAACACTTGCCTAAATCAGTTTTCGGAGAAAATTAAGCGAAGGCACAATTTTTCGGAACTTTGCAAGTTAAATGCATCATTTGGTACTCCTACGTTAATCAGCCACAATGAACCTATGCATATTATGGACAGAAAAGCTTCGAAGTGCGTTAAATTCACCCTTCTTTGTAATCTCGTGTCATCCCACATAATAATATACTATCTTTATTACTGTCAGTGGTTTTAAATAAATTACTTGCATGGACTCTATATCGCTCACCTTCAAGAAACTGTTGCATGTCGTCTGTGTAACAGGAATGGGCAGTTTACTTTGGTTGCAGAACGCAGAACTTCAAAGGGAAGGGAAAGGATGCGATAGTATGGCAAATAATGTATGCGTGGCAAAATTCCCTTCTTCGTTTGGATTTTATGTCATCGTTTCCTAGAAATGGAAAGAACAAAAACGTTTATTGAGGGGCCGGGGGGGAGGGAGGTGGCAACTTTTTCTTGGAAAATGACGTCATAAATCAGAAGGGATCTAACAAAAACATCTCAAACCTTAAGTTTAAACAAAATAATAAAGTTATTTCTGACCTACTGTAGGGGGAGTTTTTTCATACCAATGGTTTATCCGCTGGCAACTTGCTAGGCAATTGGATTCTCAAGGATTAACTCCTTTCTGACAATCACGAAACTAATAATTAGTCACGCAAATCAGTTCCTGTGTGGTTCGCAGAACTTCGTCGAGATTCTGAATGACCACTTTTGATTGCGTTAATAGAGAGACAGAGAGTTGCATCATAAATATGGTTATGGCAAAAATATGGCTAAGAATCGCTAAGCTTCTTGATAATATACCTTTATTGTAAGCGCAGAGCAAGATGCAAGTATTAAATTATTTTCTAAATTTGCATGTGATTATTACCGCCTTAGAAGTATCCAAGCAAATTATTTCCGTTCTTTCCTAGAATTCTGAAAACAATAGAGAACAATAACAGATCATTTGAACTTGCTTCAGAGTCCATGTACTGGCTAGTGCTTGTAACAAATCAATTCAATTTTGCAGAGATTCGAGCCATGGCAGACGAACAGTCTATGGTTGCAGAGGATGTTATTATGCAGGTCCCTCATATTCAATTCTTCAAGACGATAATAAACGCGTGCAAAGAAAATCGGGAGCTATTGCCAAGCCTACCAGAAGCGATCGAATGTCTTCTTGAGAGCGGTTCAGCAAAGTTAATTCAGGTTTATCAATTTGAAGAATACAGGTACGAAGGACTTTCTATATTATATGTCCCTGCTTTTGTTTGTAATGTTTTGCACCAGTATGTCCTTAAAGGAGATCATGAACGGGGGGGAAGCAGGGGAGAGAATGATGTTTAAAATGCCGATTAATCGCTTTAGGGGAAACTGTAGTGGAATGAAATGTAATATGACAGTCCTGTGATTTTGAGTTATTAGCTTTCTGCGTTCTAGAATTATATTCTACTGTTGTATTGCATAAGACTTTCCTTTATTGCGTGACATAAATCCCTCGCCATTGTAATATGCAGCATCGGAAAAAATAACCCAATTTGTTATTTATTTATTTATTTATTTATTTATTGCGGGTAACAAGAGGATCCCGCAATCCTAATCTCCAGGTTGTTATTACGCATGCGTCGCATGTATGTAGCCGGCCAGCATTTCACTGGCGAAAAATGTCTGACTGATCGTTACCAGACCACGTGACCTAGAGTAAATTCAAAATGGCGGCAAAGTTGTCCCTCTTGTGTTTATTTCAGGAGAAATGAGTAAAACTGGAGCCCTTCTACGCGGCATTTGTTTGAATAGTCTGGACTTTTTACTATTCTCCTTTTCCTCCTGTTCCTGTGAGATTCATTGACCGCAATTTTCTGCGTCTTGGTTTACCGGATGCGACTTTCATCTCAGTTAAATACGCGCAATGTTTCTGAAAAAAAATGTCGAAGCAAATTGCCGTTTTTAACGGCTTAATTCCTGCAGAAAAACACTAGATGCCTTGACGTCATTACACGGAAAGGCAATTTTATTACCGAATAAAGGAAGAAAATGTTATCCTAGCGAAACGGACTGGCAAGACATGAAGGTTCCCCAGGGGCGCACTTCATGATATACATACACTGTATAAACACTATTGAACGCTTCAAAGTATTGCACTGGTTCATTACTTGATAATCCGACCGGTCCATAGCATAGCACCTCATAGCAGACCAAATGGCAGGCAAGCTGTAGAACACAAATGTGTCGATTAACAACTGCCGCTTCCGTGCAACTCGGTACACGCTTATTCATATACCAAAACAAAGCCCAATAATTTTTCTTCCACTGCTGTATAATTTCTTGTTGTACCGAGTTGCACGAGACTTGCACTGAACATAAAAGGAGAAAATTACCCACCTTTTTAGCATGTCCTCTCCTCGCATCCAGTGATCGCAACGCCAAGCTCGGTTAAATGGATCGAGCCAGTGTGTTTGTCTGACAGTTACAGGATGTATTATCTTCTACTCGACACATATCACCAAAAAATTCGACCAAAATAATTTTCAATCTCTCACATTGGCAGCAAAACCACAGCACTACCACTGACAAAAAAGCTGCCATTTCTTCTTACATCTTGACAACAATTCGCGGGGATTTTACCTCCTAGCCAATGACTTTGCCGGAAATCGACCAGGTGATATTTGTCCCGGTGCATGCGTAAACATTTTTCGCCAGCGAAAGGCCAGCATTCGTTTTGGACTTCCACTAAGAATGAATGGAATGCACAGAACACAATTTGATCACGCGCGTTTGGACTTTCTATCACTCGCAATCTGATCACGCGTGTTTTGACTACCTGTCACGTGAAACTTACGCAAACCACACAGCGATGGAGCAAAAGCGTATTGACCTTCGATCGTTTTCGCCCGCACTCCGTATTAACCTTTGGTTATTACTAGTTATTTATTTATTTATTTATTTATTCATTTATTCAATGTCCATCTGTCAATATGTGAGCGCGGCAGTTCCACCGTTCAATTCAATGTTCAATTATCTTTTAATGTCTATCTTCGTTTTTCGTTCTATCTCTCGCTTGTAGTAGCAAATATCTTTTAGTATCCGTATATTATGTTTTGGTAGTAAAATCAGAAAATTGCGACCCTTTTTAAACAACGGTTAACAGGATGTAAAGTATAGCTCCTGCTTTGTCATTTTGGTTTACCTGGACTTTCACTTCCCTTGTGTAAGCTTAGTAGACATAGAAAAAAGGGAAAAAAATCAATCATTTCATCTCTTCTTCCCAGCAGCTATATTCTGTGAAAATGCTCAGCCCCTGATTTTACGCTGCCTTTAGAATAATTATAAAAAAAGACCTTGCTTGCTGTTATTTTAAGGGGCGGGGGGCGCGGGGGGCCGGGGGAGGAAAGGGCTTTTTAACGGCAATTATAAAACGAAAAACATTCAGGTACTAAAGACATCATAAAAGACCGTCTTCTCTTCCTTTAAAGGAGGGCAAAGGAAGAGGAAATAATGGCCAAGGATAAGAGACTTGAAGAACTGACTGAGTATGTGAAGGGCATAGAGGAAAAGTAAGTACATTTAAGATTGCCTTATCAAATAACCAAATAATCGCAAACCACAAAAAAAAAGTCGATCACCAACTACATTAGCAACATTGACCTTCTAGATATCACAGTTAAACTGAATTAACAAAATAGCCTCGGTTTGAGCACGAAAACAGTAGCAGACATGATAATCTTTGATGATGCTTAAGTTCGTCCATGGGCAAGCTTTTAAACTAATTATAAAACGGAGTTATTTATTTATTTATTTATTTGCAGGATAGTTAACAATTATTTCGGCCTCATGGGCTATTGACTCAGAACCCATTCAGGCTCGAGAAATAATTGTCTTAGTACAATCCAACTAGTTGGTCAAATTACAAATATCGAGGCAAAACAACTTTAGCTAGCAAAACACATTTCAGCCGCTATTGTTTTGGTTTTCAAAGCTGGCGCTTTTCGCCACCAGTGGGCGATAACATATAGCCTAGTAGTAGTTCAACCAATCAGAACGCAGCATTGATAATAGACCACTAGTTGGATTTTACTAAATAATCACACCATCAGCTTCTGGTTCGATGGCATAATGTTATCAAACGAAAGGTTAAAAAAAAGTAATCGTTATTTATTCTTCGTTTAAACATAGTCACGAAAGCCTTATTTTATAGCAATTGTAGATCTCAGGCCACTTAAGGCATGATTACCTAATTAAATATGCATATTTTGTTAAAATAATGCTATTTAGAGCGGCTTGCTTCCATCAGTGATCCTGACAAGGGAACTACAAATGTGGCTCAACGAAACGTGAAACGTGATTTCAAATAACACGTGACATTGCTATGTCAATGACGTCACAAAACACGTTTTCCTAAACGGGGAAAAGTTGCAAGCCTTAATCTTAGGAATTTTCACTAGCAAATTGTTACATAAACAGTGCCAATCATAAATCTGCGTTGTATGATTAGAAATGTTATTTATCCTATTAGCTATTTAACTAATAAATGAGTCACGTGACCCTTTTCCCTTTATTTACCGATTTCTATGTAACATAAACACACATACAAGGCGAATTTTTCCGGACCCTTTTAAATAAGCCTCTGAAATGCACCTAAAAGAACTTGTTTCTCTTTCATTCTCCTTTCCTCATTTTAGAGTAAATATTTTGACAGTTAAATCTCAATTATCAGTCTCATGACGAGAATGTGAGCTTCTAAAATGTCTTATATTGCTAAGGCTATTAAGCTACATTTGTGGTAGTTTAATTTTCAGGATCATTGATAGAAGCAAACCTTTTTAAATAGTATTTTATCAAACTATGCATATTTAATTAGATAGTCATGCCTTAAGTGGCCTGAGATTAAGTATGAACACCAAACTGCGCGTGAATTACTTATAATTATGTAAAGCATACCGTTAACAGCTAATGTAATTAGTTCATCAAGTTTCCTTGAACTTTTTCAGTTATCGGGAAAGGGAACGTGAACTGCTAGAAGTGGAAAGAGGTTTCGCCAAAAGAGAAGAAGATATGGCTAGAAAGGAAAAAGAAATGAATAAAACAGCAAAGCAACTCGAGGAAAGGTCAGCTTCTTTCTTTATTACTGCTTTGTTTAAGAAAAGTACGAAGGTTTCAGGAACAAATTTTACTTTTGAGCATAAAACAACCGAACCTGGTCATAAAATACCAAATCGGAAGAAACAGTCGGTAGGACACGTCGAGTTTTAGCATTGTTGATGAAAACCTTTCGTCCCAGAAGCGCCCGTAATCTGCGGGTCCATCTTGCTTGCTTACTTACTCGCTCACTCACTCACTCCCTAAAGCCTATCCATCAAGGCACATCCAACACCAAACTGAACATAAAATCAATTAAAGTAAATTTATCCAAATTTGACGTAGTTTGTCTAGAAGAGACTTGGGCAAAAGATGACTCCTTAGCTTTTGAAGGCTACACAGAATATTCAATAGTCAGGAGTTGCAAAAGCAAGCGAGGAAAAGGAAGGGTGTCAGTCTTGATTAAAAATATTGTAATCTCGTGACACATATTAATAGTAGCTCTCCTAATATAATTTGGCGCCGTTTACACAAATCGTTACTTGGCCTTGAGTCAGACATCTATCTGGCGACAGTTTACTCACCGCCTTTACAATCACAGAAAAAAAGCAGGAGAAGATATTATTAGTAACTTAGACAAGGAAATCCAAAAGTACTCTGCACAAGGTAAAGTTATTCTGCTTGGCGATTTTAATGCTTGAACGGGGACGTTAAACGACTTCATTGAAAATGATACACACGGCCTTGTGCTACCTAATGACATCTGTCATCTTGATGAACACTTTCCTTAACGAAATAATGCAGATTATACCTTAAACAAAGTAGGAGGAGACATTTTACAGCTATGCATGGGAAATAGGTTACGATTTTTGAATGGTAGGCTAACAGGTAATCTTGATGGGAAGCTAACCTCCTATCAGAGAACAGAACTCCTTAAGTCATTATTCAGATTTCAAGTGCAGACCCGAACCCCATATTCCCATCATTGTCCAATTAGTGTTAAAATACCATTTTCCAAAGCTGGCTCAATGAGTGACAAATCTAATGAAAAGCCCGGAAGACAGACTAAAGAGACTCCCATAGTGCTAAACATGTACACTCTTAAAACATTCCTGTAGAATACAGGATCCAAAGAAAAGTTTATGAGTGCACTATCAACTACAGACATTCAAGGCCAATTCGAATCTTTCAACGCTAAAGATTATCCTTCGATAGATGACGAAATTTCCCATTTCAACAAACTAATGATGCACACAGCTAGAATAAGCCTGGGACCGTCAAAGAAAAAAATGGAAAAACACCAAAAAAAGCAAACCGTGGTATGACAATACATGTAGACAGTTAAAGAAACAATTACAACACCTTGCAAAGAAAATGACTCCTACAACTCATAGATCTTTGCAAAAGGAATATTTTGCCTTTAAAAAGAAATATAAAAAACAGGTCTTTTGATGCATATGAAATACAAAAATGATCTTATTAACGAGATAAATGGATTAAGCTGGGAACGTAGTCAAGATTTAACAAACAAAAGAAAGCACGGTCGAGGAAGAAACCCTCATATCTACAGAAGCATGGATACAACATTTTCGACAATTACTTTATGATAACAATGAAACAAATGAAAATACAAATTTTGCAAATGACGCGGACGAAACAGAAAATTTGTCAGATTACTCTCGAACATTGATTCTTCAGCGGTCGAGACAAGGAATAAACTTTTCGATGCCCTTGTTAAACCTGTACTACTTTACGGTTGTGAAATATGGGGACCAGAACTACTATCTTATAAGACACATTTTGATAAAAGTACAGTTGAGCAAGTTCACATTAAATTCTGTAAACAAACATTAAATTCCCCATGGTACACAGAAAACAAAGCCAGTAGAGCAGAACTTGGCCGATACCCTTTATCTATAGACAAAAAGGCTTCCCTTTTATGTTACTGGCAAAGATTAGAACAAAAATCAGACAACCCTCTCGTAAACGAAGCTTTTATTTACGCAAGAACTCAGAGTAAGTTTTATGGTTTATTAAATAGCGACAATTACAAATGCATTACAAAAATGAGGTAATAAAAAATCAGCAATGTGTTAAGAACACTCGTTCTAGCATTAAACAACAGTTGCAGAAAAACTTTTCTCAAGATTGGTTAAAAGCTCAAAACGACATTTGGGATAGCTCTAGACAAAAATATGCAAACAAGGAAATTAAAAAAAGATTATCGCTTAGAAGAATACCTAAAGATAGTTTGAGATCCAGCTCACAAAATCAGTATGACTAAACTTCGATTGGGAGTTCATACTTTACGTATACAAACAGGAAAATATGAAAATAAAGGAGCTTCTATACCAGTAGAGGAAAGGCTTTGTTTAGTTTGCCAAAAAAAAAAAAACTGGATAGAAGACGAGAAACACTTCTTAATTGATTGTACTGAATACGATAGTCTTGGACAGAAACTTTATTTTCATTTTTCTGAAAATGATGCAAACTTTATCAATTTAACAGATCATGATAGAACCTTATATTTACTCAGATTAGAAAATGACAGTACTTCACAATTTATAGCCAAATAGGCCCATCTAAAGTTTCAAAAACGAAAACAGATCCTGAGTCAAAAATCTAATTGATTAGTTACTTGAATTATACTACAATTATTATCGGAATGGTATATGCCGTATAATTTTTTTTTTTCGGTCATATTCTATATAATTTGTTGTAGTTATGAAAACCTTTGTTGTAACTAGACCAATGCCTCCCTTTGGAGAGTAAGGCGCAATAAAGATATACTATACTCTACTCTACTCTACTCTACTCTACCCTACCCTACCCTACCCTACCCTACCCTACCCTACCCTACCCTACCCTACTCTACTCTACTCTACTCTACTCTACTCTACTCTACTCTACTCTACTCTACTCTACTCTATTCTACTCTACTCTACTCTACTCTACTCTACTCTACTCTACTCTACTCTACTCTACTCTACTCTACTCTACTCTACTCTACTCTACTATACCATACCATACCATACCATACCATACCATACCATACCATACCATACCATACCATACCATACCATACCATACCATACCATACCATACCATACCATACTATACTATTTAACAATTATTTAACAATTATTCCACGAGGGCGCGTTGGATATGAGATGATAGGTAGCCAGCGAGGTGCGTAGCGCCGAGTTGGCTATAATCATCTCATATCCAACAAGCGCGAGTGGAATAATTGTCTTATTAAAAACGCCCACAAAATACTAGAGCAAACCGGAAAAGACAAGGGACTTCCGCTATTCACATGTCACACGTCTATCAAAACTGTCAACGCGCGAACGGACTCGCCTGGACTGCATGAATGAAAATCAAAACATTGCAGCGATGAACATTAGTTCTTTCAAAACTCATCGGGATTCTAGGATTTTACACAGCAGAACAGCTAAAAAAACCTGGCAGATAATGTGAAAGAAAAGAATTTTTAAGTGACAGCCGTCGAAATTACTGTGAATTTGGATTTTCGGTGCAGTTATAAAAGTAAGAACAAAGGAGAAAAAATATTACCTCGGTCGCTTGTTATGAAGTTGTTTGAAGCCACAAGCTGGTTTTGCTGAACGAAAAAAGAAGCTATACTGCCGCCTCGATTGCTCTAGTGAATGGCTGCATAGCCTGTATTTGTAGCTGGTTACTTGTGATTTATATTATTGATGTCGGATAAACAAGCCGCAGTTATCTATCGGCGAGTGACTCGATCGGCGAATGGCTTCGCGATCATGAACAACACTTGTCTTCTTTCGTAGCTGGTCAAGGTACTTTTTGTTCCATGTGTTTTCATGTGTTTTTCGACAAACTTTCAAACAAGCTCTTGTGGCTTTTTTGTTTGTTTTTGTCTTTTTTCTTTCGACGAAATTGCATTTCTAGTATTCTAAGAAATGAATTAAAACGATTTGCTTCGGGCGCCGTTCTATCCTTCGCGAAAAAAAAAATCTCAGCTAGCTTCCAATTTTAAACTGACGCGTACACCGACCATATATGGAGTGCATGGTATATTAGCTCATATACCATAACGGCTAAGCCAATCAAAATGCTAGAATTGCATTATCCAATGATTCAGTTTTTCATAAACTATACTATACTTACTATATTATACTATACTATACTATACTATACTATACTATACTATACTATACTATACTATACTATACTATACTATACTATACTATACTATACTATACTATACTATACTATACTATACTATACTATACTATACTATACTATACTCACTCACTCACTCACTCCCTTTATTTACCGATTCCTATGTAACATAAACACACATACAAGGCGAAATTTTCAGAACCTTTGATATAAGCCTCTGAAATACACCGAAAAGAACTTGTTTTTCTTTCATTCTCCTTTCCCCATTTTAGAGTAAATATTTTGACCGTTAAATCTCAATTATTAGTCACCTGAGGAGAATGTGAGCCTCTAAAATGTCTTATATTGCTAAGGCTATTAAGCTACATTTGTAGTTCAATTTTCTGGATCATTGATAGAGGCAAAACTCTCCAAATAGTATTTATCAAAATATGCATATTTAATTCGATCAAACTGCGCGTGAATTACTTGTGTAAAGCATACCGTTAACAGCTGATGTAATTAGTTCATCAAATTTCCTGGAACTTTTTCAGTTATAGGGAAAGGGAACGTGAACTGCAAGAAGTGGAAAGAGGTTTCGCCAAAAGAGAAGATATAGCTAGAAAGGAAAAAGAAATGAATAAAACAGAAAAGCAACTCGAGGAAAGGTCAGCTTCTTTTTTATTATTATTATTTCATCTTTGTTTAAGAAAAGTACGAAGGTTTCAGAAACAAAATCTACTTTTGAGCATAAAACAATCAAACCTGGTCATAAAATACCAAATCGGAGGAAACAATGGGTAGAACATGTCGAATTTTAGCATTGTTGATTAAACCTTTCGCCCCGGAAGCGCCCGTAATCTGCGGGTCCAACTTGGTTGCTCACTCACTCACTCGCTCGCTCGCTCGCTCGCTCGCTCACTCACTCACTCACTCACTCACTCACTCACTCACTCACTCACTCACTCACTCACTCACTCACTCACTCACTCACTCACTCACTCACTCACTCACTCACTCACTCACTCACTCACTCACTCACTCACCACTCACCACCACTCACTCACCACCACCACTCACTCACCACCACCACTCACCACCACCACCACCACCACCACCACCACCACTCACCACCACCACCACTCACCTCACCACCACCACCACCACCACCACCACCACCACTCACCACCACCACCACCACTCACCACCACCACCACCACCACCACCACCACCACCACTCACTCACCACCACCACCACCACCACCACCACCACCACCACCACCACCACCACCACTCACCACCACCACCACCACCACCACCACCACCACCACCACCACCACCACCACCACTCACCACCACCACCACCACCACCACCACTCACCACCACCACCACCACCACCACCACCACCACCACCACCACCACCTCACTCACCACCACCACCACTCACCACTCACCACCACCACCACCACCACCACCACCACCACCACCACCACTCACTCACCACCACCACTCACTCACTCACCACTCACCACCACCACCACCACCACCACCACCACCACCACCACCACCACCACCACCACCACCACCACTCACCACCACCACCACCACCACCACCACCACCACCACCACCACTCACCACCACCACCACCACCACCACCACCACCACCACCACCTCACTCCACCACCACTCACCACCACCACCACCACCACCACCACCACTCACCACCACCACCTCACCACCACCACCACCACCACCACCACCACCACCACCACCACTCACTCACCACCACCACCACTCACCACCACCACCACCACCACCACCACCACCACCACCACCACCACCACCACCACCACCACCACCACCACCACCACCACCACCACTCACCTCACTCACCCTCCTCACTCACCACCACTCACTCACTCACTCACTCACTCACTCACTCACTCACTCACTCACTCACTTTTTGTCGGCTCGGGGGCGACTAGGAGAGGAGTAGAGGACCCTGGGAACGAGGTTGATATTCACTGTGGTTTAGATTCACCTCAAGTTATTTTAATTTTGTAGCGGTTTTTAATCGTGAAACGGCAATTGTTTAAGTGTAATAATTATAGAAGATTCTAGACACGTTAAGGATTTTAGCTATATTATAGGAACTGAAATATACAGTCAGTTTTGCAATAGCTTATATTACCTTGAATAGAGGCCAAGTCATTGTTTTTAGAAAATTTACGAATGACGAGTAAGTGAGCTGACTAATCGAGACAGGGACAGACCGATGTAAGTAGCATGGAAGCACAAAACTAACAGAACGTTATTTTTCACTGGTAGAACTGTTTCCAGGAATTAGAACACTAGGTAATCCATGCTGAAGGTTGTCTACGATTAAACAGCTTTCTTTGAATTAGACAATTACTTCTGTATCTACACGTTGGTAGTAGTAACCAGTTGCATCTGCAAGATATTTAAGACAAATTATTAACGAGACGGCATCGTATTTTTAACTCAAAGTGATCCGACCCTAATCGATTTGGTCACCGTTCTCAAGCCTCTACCTTACTCTCTTTTCACACTTAACAGTACAGTAAACAGTAAACAACAGACATGCAAAGTCTCCGTTAGACAGTGGTTGAACCGTAGATAATTCGGAATAAATAATATCTACTAGCTGATAATAGAAACAAAAGATCATTAACAAGCACAGATCTTGCCATACATTACATTCTCTGAATGCAAATTAAGATCAACTGACTTAAACTTCACGAATGTCTTCTTACGTCATCTTTTATGTGGCTGCTGTTGAATTTACCTTAACGTTTCTGATTCAGCTATCAGAAAAGGGAAAGTGAACTACAAAAAGTGAAGGAGGAAATCTCGAAAAGAGAAGATGAAATAACAAAGAGAGAGAAAGGAATAATTGAAAAAAAGATGAAGCGCGATGACGTGTAAGTTATCTATCCTATCTGATAACTTTTTTTAGCGTTAATATCGACATTCCCGGGGATAAAGCATGCCAGTGGAGTACTATGGATTCGAAAATTCGGTGACCTATCCTTGCGAAAAATTTGCTTCGCTGTCTTCAATAGACCGTATTCCCACTCCATCAAACTGGGATAAGGGGGAAGGGAGACACTGACAATTGTAGAAGTAAGTCCTAGGCAACCAGCCTGCGTTTGTCAACGAAGAATGGCGTTTACTGGCAACGTCAGCCCACTTGTTTGATAATGGACGGACACCATTTAAAGGTCAATTGACCCCTCAGAAAAGTCATTCGAGCTGACAGAATCCATAACCACATATGTACACTGAATATGTTTGTTTTATTTGTTTGTTGGTTTGTTGGTTTGTTTTGCTGTTTTTCTTTTTCTTTTTATCATTGTTATTATTATTTTTTCGTTTGTTTGCTTTATGTTGTTATTGTTTTTATTTTAAAAAGCCTTCAGAAAATGCAACGAGAACTACAAGAAGCGAGGGACGAAGTCGCAAAAAGGGAAGAGGAAAAAATAAAGAAGGAAAAAGAAATCATCGCAACAGAAAAGCAACGCGAAAAAGAGTAAGTTTCTATCCTCCTGATTGACTTAGTCCAGCATCTGGTATAATATGGGGAATCCCATGGAATTATTAAATCGCGATACTTCCGCCTCACATTAGCGGTTCAGAATCGCAAATCCTTTCCTGTGATCCGCTATTCGTTTTTAGAATTTTTCAGAGTAACGTAACCGCTTGGAGTTCTCAAAAATTAATTATACATGAGCCAAACATCTTTACGTTTTTAACAGTTGTTCTTTGAAAAATGTTTACATTTATCTTAAAAGCTTTGAGAAAATGCAACGTGAACTACAAGAGGCCAAGGACGAAGTCGCAAAAAGAGAAGTGAGGGAAAAGGAAATACTGGCAACAGAGAAAAAACGCGAAGAAGTGTAAGTTTCTCTCCTCTTGTGTACCCTGGTCTTCGTTGCTTATTGGGGACACTTAAAAAAGAAATAGAAAACAAATGAATGTTAATAATGCTGAGGACTAAACTGTAAAATTAATAGAGAATTATTGGTGAATCAAAAAGGTATTATGCTAGAATAGATTAGGGAGGTACCATTAGAAAACCTTTTTTGGGGGGGGGGGGGTGAAGTACAAAAAAAATATTCGCGCAAGGGAAAATTAAATGAAAAAAAGATTCGTGCACGCCAATTAACCCTAAAAAATACTCATGCTACGACCTAAAAAAAATTCATACAAGGAATTTGATAACGAAAAAAAATTCTTGAGGCTCGAAAATTCCCTATCCCCCCCTCCCATAACTTTTCTAATGGTCCTTCCCTTAAGGTTAGAAATTCAAAATCATATCGTATCTTAACATATTGACACTTACTTAAAACACAACCAATTTAAGAAAATAAAAAGTCATAGAAAAAACGATGAATAGAAAGAAAAAGAAAGCAGACAATAAATACTTTAGCTTGTAATTACATGCGGGAAATTAATATAACCATTCTCACGTATAGGTCTTCGATTTAAAATCAAGCTTTACCCTTTAATTTATTAACCAGGGAAAACCCCACTTTTGACCAAATCTTCCTTTTTAAACCGTTTTTTCTTACTATTAGCATGAGAATGGCTAAACCGTTTTTCTTACTGTTAGCATGAGAATGGCTAAAAGAGATTTTCAAACAGTTAGGGCATAGTTTCTGCTAATCATTGGATGGAATTAAGCAGCTTTTTTGTTTTTGGTTTTGTTTTGACGAATCTATTTCGATCTTTTTTCTCGTTCTCGTCCCTTTCCCTTTGCCATTCTTTTCATACGCAGTTTTGTTGCTCACTTTCAAGTCTTTCTTTCACATGGCATTTTGGCTCGCTTTCTTTCCAAGAAAAGAGTAGGTGTAGATAAATAGCAAAATTGGCATTTGATTTTTCCCTCAACTGTTTGCTTGTTTTTTTGTCTGTTTCTCCGTCAGGGTTGGTCAAAATTTGCTAAATGAGGTACATGTACTAGTGGAAAGCTTAATAGGTTCATAAAGTTAGGATAATATGCACAGGTTCATATGGACCCAAAGCGACCAAAGGTCTTAGGTTAAGGTCTTATTTGTAATATGATCTCTGAAACAGTTTAAAGTTTCACCGTTAATAGCTTGAGTTACGTCTTGACTTGAGTAAAAGTATGGACCTAGGTGTCACATCGAATGTCATCACATGTCAGTGGATTGAAGCGACAGACAAATCAGCTTGCATACATCAGACGCATCTTTGCTCGATTCGGCCGCCCGTTTAAATGCTTTGTCACCAACGTTTCTCCAGGACGCCATCAATTATTCCGGTATCCCATAGCTTGTGCTATGAATGTCCAAGGAAGAAGTACAGAAAAAGGACTAGATTATTCAAGGAGGTGGGATGGAGAGTACATTTTATCAATAAATATTTCGAAAAAGGGGTGAGGGTACGATTCATATGTTAAAATCATTTTGGATAAGGGGTGTATTTTTGCTTCACCAAAACTTTCTGCAAACCACTGTATTTTATTATCATTATCATTAATTGTAATTTCTTTTTCGTTTCCGCTGGAATACGAAAAAAAAAATGTTTTTGCAGTATCTCTAAGCTGAGTGATGAGCTGAAAAGTTCACGTATGATGATGGACAGCTACAAATCCAGGTAATTGAACTTCAAACCACACATTCAATCAATGTATAGTTATGCTATCCGTCTAGCAAATTCACAGAAAGGTCAAACGATGTATTGAGAGGTTATGAATTCGTTCCTTAGCGTTAGTTTAACTGTCAGAATGTGGAATTGCTACTTTGAAGGTCTATGTTGCCTTTAGATTTAACATTATTCAGACAGAGGGAGTTAAGGACCCCCAAAACTTTAAATTGTAGTAATTTCGAAACCGTTCATGCTTTTTCCTAGCGACGTATCAGAGCAATAATCGGAGTTTCAGAGCTACCTTGTACTAATCAAAGGGTGCTAAGGCTAACTTGTGGATTATTAATTACTGTATTTTAGAAATGAAAGCTGATAATGAACCTGCAATACCGGTATATTTTAAGTCTGTCAAAAAAGGAAAATATGTTTTACGAAAAAACAAAAACAAAACAAAAGGACCTTAAAAAAAAAAAAAAAGTTTCCCAAGGCGAGAGTCAAACCCCGAACCTCCGACGTATAAGGTCAACGCCTTATCTATTCCGCCACAGCAGCTTCAATTGAAGACTTTTGTTAAATTAATCATCTTTTAATAACACTTTTGCCCATGAAATTCTGTCGGTCGACGCTGTTTGAAGCCGGAAGAGCTTTAATTATGAAGAATTGAAAGATAAATTCGAGGAAAACAAGCATGGTTTCGACAGTTAAAGCCGTACATTAAGTCGTTTCGTCGCATTTGAAAAACATATGGCTGACAAGTGTCTCCCAAAATCCGTCGCGAAGTCTCTTGCAGCTTGCGATTCTCGGCGTTTACATGAGGAAAATTACTTACGATTTAGCAACAGTAAACATTTCCGTTTTATTGAACAAAGAAACATTTCATTTGAGAATGGTATTTCACTAAAACTCATGAGATTGGGAGTCTTGTCGTGAGAAAAGTCAAAAACCCGTGAGACTTACGGCAAAATCTTGAGCTTCCAAAGCTTTAAAAGTTCATAAACGTCTGTCTCAAAGTTGGCCACAGTGCTTATTTGAATTATTCAAAGTCTACATGAAGACAAGGTGTCGTCCTGTGAATGGTACAAACTCATAACATCAAAAGCTCTGGGCACCATGCACGCTCAGCACTTCTTGATCGCGGAACGGGAAGGATCGATCTAGGACAGTTGTTGTTTTGATATCGGGCCCTTTCGTGCGGATCCGACTAATTACGAGTGGTGTCTACACTAAGTGGCACATTTGCATGGCAGTGCCCACAATAACTTGCTCCTTAATTACGCTACTCGTAATCCACAAGTTAAAAAGAACCGGATTAATGGCAAGCAGAATGGAAGACTGACTCAAACACAAAGTGTAACAAGCATTAGGATTCGCTTCATAATTCCGCTCTTACTTACGTATCCAATAGTCGATCTGATTTTTACGGTTCCTCAGAGTAAAAAATGGAAACATAAGCTAAGTTTGACGAAAATGAAAACGTTTTGATTCCTGGGATTCCGCTTACGACTAAATTTCTAATCAGTGTCCATTGCATGCTGTTAAGGGTTCGATGTGGACACCAGCTCAGACCCCATCACTGGTTAAAAAAAAAAGAAAACGGAAAACCTTTTCAAAACACCAAGGCTAGTATTGAATCGGCATGCCTTGTACCTGAAATAAATTAAGACGGGATCCTAATATTTAATTGTAACGTTGATAAAAACATACACTTTCCATTTTAATTTTTTTAGGTTGGCTTTCCTTAGTGAAAGGCATGTAAAACAAGACCAAAGAAGAGTCGAGAACACCCTTGCCTCAAACAGGCAGTCTGACTTGGAAAAAGACTTCTCCTCGTTTTTCGATCACGATAGGCTAGATGCATGCGATAAAATGCTCTCCATATATCACAAAGAGGAAGACAATTTTACGTACATTTATTATCCAAGACTGGCCTGCATTATACTAGAGGTATTGATATGTAACTATGAGAATTTTAATGAATAAAATTATCGCGTAAATCGGTTACAAAAACATGTCGAACATTAAAATCAAGCTAAACAATATGAATATTGAAATTACCTTAGCATTGCTATGCACAGTCCGTCATAACAAAAAAAATTCGGATTATAAATTCATCTGGTGACGTAAGTAGCAGCTGCAAAGAGGGCAAATCAATTCATTAAGAGCGTCGTGGCAAAAAAAAAAATGTTACGAAGATTGAAAACCGGGGAATTGTTAGCCTTCAATTTAAAACAAAAACAAAACAAACAAAGCGAGTAAAAAAATTGCACTTTCTTAGGCAGACAGTTCTAAATATAACTTACACTCAGTTGCTTAATGTACAGATTTCGTCAGGCTTGTCGATGAAAAATGGCAGAGCCACTTAATAAATTTGCAAAAGCAAGAAGAACTTTCTCTTATTCAGGCAACAGGCTAATAAGGTGTAAAAGTTCGGATGATAGACCACGTCAAAAGCATAACTTTTATCCAGACAGATTATTTTGCTGTTTGCAAGTCTCCTAATAGTTGTCCACTTTGTCAGCTATTTAGCAGAAAGCAAAGCCCAATCCGTAAATTTGAAGTTACACTGTGATGGCCACTAAATAGACTCGCAGTAGCGTCAAATTTGACTAACGAGTCCAGTATTTGTTAAGACCAATTGGCTAGCAGCTAAATAGCTTCAGCGTGCTTTCTCTCGTTTGCCAACATGTTTCCCTTCAATACTGAATATCACTGATCTTGGTTGAGACCTATTGAAAAAAGAAGTCAAACTTGCAGATCTTAAAGAAGTATCTGGGTCTCCCGACGTAGTTCACTATTAGAGATTTTAAGCTTCACTTATACGGCAAACGGCAGATTCAAGTTGAGAATTTCTTAAAATAGATATGAGCAGATAAAAACAGCTCAAAACAATTCTTACAGAAACAAAATTGCGAGAAACTTCTAATTGATGGGTAGAAATAATGAACAGTAAAGGAGAAGCAAAGGGAAACTTGGTTACATGGTTCAATTTCGCGTTTGCTGTTTAACGTAAACGTGATGCTTAACCTCTCTATTTTCCCGATCCGCTTAAACGTAGCTGAAACTCGCTTAAACAGCATTTTATGCAGAAAACAAACAATCAAAACAAACAATGACGAGCGGAAACAGAGGAGTGTGTTCCTTTGATGAGGCGGTTCGGACTAGTATCAGTGAAAAGAGATCATTCGGATCATGTAACTTTAAGCCCCGTGCAAACGGACGCAACATTGTTGGCCAACAACTCCCAACATTGTTGAATGTTACATGTTGCTTCCGTTTGCACACCCTGTTGCATGTTGTTGAGTGTTGTTGCGCAAGGTTTGAAACCACTCAAACTGTTTTCAGCCAACAACTCCCAACATTTCTTTTGTTCCGTGATCGCCGAAGCGTAGCACAACAATGTTGGATCCGTTTGCACAGCTCCTCCAACATTGCTGGGGCCACGCGCGCTCATTACGCATGGATTACAAAGACTTATGGGTTGTATTCTTCCCACGATGCACTGCAGGTCCCAAACTTGTTGGGAGTTGTTGCATCCGTTTGCACACCACTGCCAACACGCACGCAACAACTCCCAACACTGTTGACGCAACAATGTCGGGAGTTGTTGCGTCCGTTTGCACGCAGCCTTAAAGGAACTGTGGATTCAGCGATTCAATTTATGGCATCCTGATCCTAGTGATATCGAATCACTGATCGTGAGTCCAATCATATTTCGAAGGAACGCGCCCTGAAAGCGAAAGTTGCGTTTTAACCTTATATTGTTATTCTCCTGAACCAGACGGCTTATGAGCAAGCAAAGGAGGCAAGAGACGCTTATTTTGACTCGTTAAAGGAGTTAACAAAAAGAATGCTTGAGTTTGCACCTCAGATGGGAACATTTGTCATAGGAAATAGAAAGGTAAGAAATCTATTTTAATTTCTCAATCAAAAAGTGTCACTTGTTGTCAGGACCGGCATTGTTCTTCTTAGCTCAGATACGTAATACTAATATATTTAACAATTATTCCTCGAGCCCGAATGCGCTCTAAGTCAATAGCCCATGAGGCCGAAGGCGAACTCAGAGGCCATGAGGGCGAGAGAAATAATTGTTTTAGTAAAATCCAACTAGTTGGTCAAAAATATCGAGAATAAAAAATTTTTAGCTAGTTAAAGTTAGACTTTAATCCTTTTTTGCCGCCAAAAAGCCCGCGCTTTTCGCTACTAGTAGGCTATAACATATAGCCTAGTAGTAGCTCAACCAATCAGAACGCAGTATTGATGATAGACCACTAGTTGGATTTTACCAAATAGATTTAGCCAGGGCTAAAAGCGAAGCTCCCGTTAATAAATTCATAATTTAAGGTGGCTCGACTGGATTTTTTGGGGTTAATACCTCCCAACTTTGAGCATTAACTACGTCGGCATGAGTAAAGATATGGAAAAAAAGTTACCGCAACTGTATTATATAAAGATGAAAATTTCTTATGATCTGGGTTTTATTGCAATCGGAGTCGCCATGGCAACGTAATGACGCCATTACGTTTTTCATTTATCTTTGTGTTTCTCTGTTCCAGGAGTTTTTTGATGAAATCGCTTAAGGGAGTATGTACCTGCTCTAATTGCCTCCATTATGGTAAAGTTTGAACAAATTCTATGAGAGCGTTTTCGAAATATTTTGAAATGTAGTTTTAAGAATGATAAAAACAGTGAAATAGCATGCTAGCCACACAATTCGCTAATATTTTAAGAAAATGATAAGCTTTGGGAACGAGGCTTCATCTCATAGTGGTTTGACTCCATTGGAAACTGCATCCAAAAAAAGAGGGGAATTGCTCTGGGCGATCGCGAGTAAGAAGAATTTTATTAACTTGCATTCAGCTGCTTTTGATACAGTTTTTGGACGTAATTTGGTCCATGGCTAAGAATTTCGCATTTTTCCAAAAACCGCTCGATAAATTTTTTTATAAATTCGACAATCCCGAGATCAATGGTCAAGAAATATTCCCTGCAAGTTTTAAGAACATTGAAAATAAGGAAGGCTTTTAAATAGGGCCTCAAATATAACCAATTTTCCCCCCAGATTTTGTGTTTACAAGTGAGCGTCCTCATTATTCACTGGCATTGTTTTCAAGTTTCATATGCACGTGCACAACCAGCAAAAGATATAAATTTGCATAAAAAAGAACTCTCGATTACTTTCCGAAGAGATATCAGGAATATGCTAATAGTTGGCTTGTCGTCACAGATAGCAGTGAGAGGCGAAACGGTGAACGTCACGGCTCATCGCGTAGGATGGAATACTTAATTATCTTACTCGGGTTATAACATCACAGAAACTATCACAAAGAGTTGCTCTGATGTTATAATGTATCATTAATCTCTTTACCCGGTAATTAGCATATACCGAAGATTTAACCGAGGGTCCTTTTTGATGCAAATTCGATCTTTTTGCTAAATGTGCGCGTGTATATGAAACTTGAAAACAATGCCAGTGAATAATGAGGACGCTCACTTGTAAACACAAAATCTAGGGGGAAAATTGGTTATATTTGAGGCCCTATTTAAAAGCCTTCCATGTTTTCAATGTTCTTAAAACTTGCAGGGAATATTTCTTGACGATTGATCGCGGGATTGTCGAATTTATAAAAAAAATTATCGAGCGGTTTTTGGAAAAATGCGAAATTTTTAGGCATGGACCAAATTACGTCCAAAAACTATATCAAAAGCAGCTGAATGCAAGTTAATAAAATTCTTCTTACTCGCGATCGCCTAGAGCAATTCCCCTCTTTTTTCGTATGCAGTTTTTTTTCAATGGAGTCAAACCACTATGAGATGAAGCCTCGTTCCCAAAGCTTATCATTTTCGTAAAATATTAGCGAATTGTGTAGGTAGCATGCTATTTCACTGTTTTTATCAGTCTTAAAACTACATTTCAAAATATTTCGAAAACGCTCTCATAGAATTTGTTCAAACTTTACCATAATGGAGGCAATTAGAGCAGGTACATACTCCCTTAATCGATTTCTTGAAAAAACTCCTGGAACAGAGAAACACAAAGATAAATGAAAAACGTAATGGCGTCATTACGTTGCCATGGAGACTCCGATTGCAATAAAACCCAGATCATAAGAAATTTTCATCTTTATATAATACAGTTGTGGTAACCTTTTTTCCATATCTTTACTCATGCCGACGTAGTTAATGCTCAAAGTTGGAAGGTATTAACCCCAAAAAATCCAGTCGAGCCACCTTAAATCAAACTTGTAATCCACAGATCAGGGCACATACATGTGACTTTTGAGGCAAAGGCTGAGTGATTTTAGAGAAAAATAATTTGATAGTCCAAGAGTGAAAACAAATTTTACATCGAGTTAATAGTCTTATTTGTACACCCAAAGATAGAAATCATGTTCGATCACAGTAGATTAGGCCTGGACAACAAATAGACCTATTTGTGCATTGTATATGCATTAGCTGTTGCATCATAATGTGGCATTCACCAGTCTCTCCAACATTGCTCCGTTTGAGAGACTAAGGATAATTGAACAACCCCGAAATATAACTTTACGAAACACACGCGCCACGATAGTCCTTGATGGCAGCCAATTTACACGTTGCATTCCTCTGTCTAAAAGGGAGGCCAGAATAAAAAACAGGCCGGATGTTTTGTGTTCGACAAGTTTACTTTGCAAGTAAATCTTGGTGACAAATCTGGTGGCGTGTAACCAGCCTTTTAAACATACTTTTTCTCATCACGTCTCAGGTAAACAGTACTATGAGGCCCTTTTTTATCATACAGACCTCAGACAGAATTTGTTCTTTTTTGCCCTATTTAAACCTATAATTCTGCAGTTTTTCACAATTTTGCAAGACAAATTGCACTCATCCAATATCCAGGACGATCAAAGCACGCGCTTCTTTTGCACAACAAATTATAGCATTGACCATATTATAAAACGTTTTTATGAAGAGAATTCCACAACTTTTCAGTTAGAAAAATCTGGTCCTATGTGATATGCAGGGTAATACTTATGGGCTTTTAGTAAAAGCGATTAAAGCAATTCCCAAAATCACCTTTTCGGCCAGCCGGACGGGTTCTCACTTCTGACAGGCACCAGATTTGCAGTGCGATTAATAGAGTTACCATTTACGCTTCGACATGGTAGAGAATTTGTTATGTTTAGGTTTCATTTCTCTTTATTTATAAAACCGTTTATGGTTTTGTTATGTGTAATCTTTAAAAGCGAGTGATATTTACGCGCGGCGTTTTGAGTATTCCTGCATGCGATGTTTATGTTCGACTGGAAACAACCGAAGCAGCGATAAAAATTGCAAGAGGGTCTACTAACAATCAATAAATAAATATAATTCGGTGAAACATGTACAAAGACAATAATTTTCATTCACGAAGACAAGTATTGAGAGTAAATTAAAGTGTCTCTGAAAATCACGAGTCAGGTAAGCATAAGCTTATTTATCTTTTAAGCCGGCTTCCCGGTGTTTGCTCTTTTTCAAGATGAACTCGAGGCAAGAAAATCGCTCAGAGCTTTCTTTTTACAACCGAAATTATAACTAAATATTCTTCGGAACCTTTTCCTTGAATTTGCGGTCAAAAAATGTCTAAAGGCTTTTAAAACCTGATACTGTTGTAGGTAAGATCGTTGCTCGTGTATAAACTTAAGCCGCATAAACCATACGCTCGACTTCAGGAAACCGAAGAAAAAAACACATCAAAGACAATAATTGCTCAGGCTTACCAGTCAAGATGCTGCTTCTGAAGGTCATCAAGTGTTCCAGAATCGCTTGAGACTTTTCAACCCTCTTACGCCTCAAGCAAGGGCAAGTGAGTAAGCTCATTTTTGAAAACGATGCCATCCGAAATCGGATTTCCAATGACTTTGACAAGCGGTGCATTTGTCAACAAAAAGCGCAATAAACAAACCAGCCAAGAATTACAGAACAATCCTGATAGCAGCTGTATTTCATTTTGTACATCAAGTAGAAAAAGACAGTTCAAAACATCACAAGATGACACAAAACTCCGTCAGCTTCAGCTATCAGTAAGGCCTGTTTTAAACGTCGTGCTACTGCCGTGCTAAGCTGGCTCGACTGTAGCTCGACTGCAGCACGACATTAGCACGACTTGGTTTCAGACGTGGAGTTTAATTCAGTCGAATAGAACGGCTGTTGCCGAAAACAAAGCACAAAAATAAAGAAACGGTTTGGCAAACTTTTAAATGTATTTATAATTTATGAATTGAGTTCGGCACGGCAGTAGCGCGACATTTGAAACCAAGTCGAGCTACTGCCGTGTAGCACGGCAAGGCTTGCCGTGCTACACGGCAGTAGCACGACTTGGTTTCAAACGTTGCGCTACTGCCGTGCTAAAGTCGAATTTAATTCCATCAATTGAGTTCGGCACGGCAGTAGCACGACGTTTGAAACGGGTGTAAGCAAGTTTCCAGAAGCTGCATAAATTTTCCGCATGAACTCACCTGTCAATTTTGACCAATCAGGACATAACAATTGTACGTAGAGCGTGATCAACACGTGACCGTGAGAAAAGTCAAAAGCGATTGCCATCCCTGCATGTAAAAGCCGGTTGAATTTTCGCGTCTGAGGTCAGTTCGAAATCAAAATTTTAAAATTGTGGCTCATGAACACGACTTATTTCATATGCATTTTAAAAAAATTGAACTTGAGCCTGCGATCATTTGAAAAGTAGCAACTTGTCAGCGGATAACTTCAAAAAAACACTCGAACTCAGTGGATCGATACCTGAGCCCACGATACGGTCAGGCGATACTGGTCAGCAGAAACACTATTTTGACAGCTGTCAATTAATCAAAACATGGATGTACAATATCAGGTTGCAGGCTCCCAAACTAGCTAGAGAGTGTGAGATTAAACGTTGGTATGCCTGCGGTGTGGACGGACGGATGGTCGGTGTACGGTCACGTGATTGCCGAATATTCTAGGATGGATAGATTTTCTAAGCTATGGGGCTTCGAATTGAGCCCGTGATCAAATAAAATATCAGCGGAAAACTGTAAATCTACTGACCTCAATGGATAGAAAAATGCGCCCGCGATACAGTCAGGTGATGAAGGTCAGTGTATTCTCTAGTTTGACAGCTGTCAATTAACCTTCCAGTAGGGCGTCATAAACTTAGGCCCGGGCACTAGAGAAGATATTGGCGAATGAAAATCCGATGTGTCTGGCCATCGTGACGTCACGTTCAAGCCGGCCCGGGAAGGTTTGAAACAAGGTAAACAAAATGCTTGTCGTGAAAAGTTCACGGTCCAATTTCTGAGTAACAGTGGAGCAAATCATTTCAAAAACTAAAGCGAAGTTGCAGATCTTATCATACAAAGTATCAATAACGCAATTTTAGCCTGAAAACAAACAGACTGGCGACAAGACTCAAAAGTGTTGAGAAACGCTTCTGCCGATCAATAAAAATCATCAGCAAGATCATCTTTAATGGCCGGTAACTCAGAAACCCCACAATACTGCGCTTGGAGACAAAAACATAACTTGCATAGATCAAAACTCTTTCTCATTTTTGAAAAATTAGATCTCATAACAATTTTATAAAAATGATCAGTCACTTTAAACACTACTTTCCGCAGGTACCTTGCGAGTCAGCAGCGAAGAGCAAGGAAAAGAAACCAGTTAATCCAACAATAAAGCTCTCGAATCGAAACGAGTAATACTATTACTTCGAGGATATCTGTTTATGTCAATGTTTGGACTTGAGAGGTGCTTGTTGAATACAGTTTAAGTCTACAAAATTGCCTAAGAAATATGTTACACTCATACTATTAAGTTTATAGGCAGTTGGGCTGACGCAAGATTCTACAGGAGCCTTCCACTGAAAACAATACCTTCAAGAAAAAATCAGAATCAAAACAATAAATTGATCAATAAATCAATCAGTCAACTTTATAAACGCTCGAAAATTTGGAGTAACTGTTTCCCCGGGGGTCCTCATATTCCAACTATCAGTGCAGATTCAAACATTTCACGTACACTATACTGTACATCTCGATTGCCGAAGCTACTCGGGTGTAAGTTTTTCGTTGGTAAATAATAATTGCTCCATTTGCTCCTCAGAGGTAAGTATAAGGAAACTATTTCCTAAGTCTGTTGTTATGTGGGAGTATATGTACCTCACTTGAAATCATGCTTCTAGACCTGATACCCAAGTATCCCAGTGACAAAATACTTATGGTGTAAATCTTTTATTGACACTTTTTTTTACTTTCCATTGAACTATGCAAGATAATCTTACTAAATAAAAGAAAAAGTCAGGAAAAATGTCTAGACAGGTTATACTACTGAAGACAGTACAAGAAGCACTGGGCCAGGAGAAAAATAATCAAACTAAACAAAACATTTTGGGTTGTAGTTTCACATCATTAAAAAATGCAACTGAAAATCTGTGTACATTCTCAGGCTAAAGCTTCCAGTGATGAATTGACTTGAAGGCTATGCCTGTTAAAACACATTATTCATTATTTTTTTCTGAAATCCTGTCAGTGAGCAGTTTCACGAAAATAATTTCTACGTATAAATCCTCATCACATTGTCAATAACAAAAAAAGAACAAGCATATGATCAGTAATGTTATGTTCTGGAGTGACCGTAGATGTTTTGATCGAACGATGATGACAGTAGAGGCCAAGAGAATAAGAATGAGAGGCCTCTCAGTCTACTCTCAAATTCCGTTTACATGTAAGACATGTAAGTCCAGAAACGTCATTGGTCTAAGTAGTGTTAATCCTGTAGAAAAAACAGAAAATGATTAGCCTTATCATTACACCTTTCTAATCCTTACCACCATAGTTAGTAGTAACTATGATACTACTGAAAACCTGTTTAAGATTTATGTACTGTTTTATATAGTTAGATAGACTGGTTAGTTACTCTTGGTGACAAAGTAAGCTAGTAAAGGATGCAGTGTTTACATGTATCAGCCCCAACCCCCACCCCCGCCCCCCCGAACCTATGTGGCATAGTGGGGATTTAATGCAGCCAATGCCAGGGTTTAACACATACAGTGAAACCTCTATAATTAAGTGGACACCCTCTATTAAGCCGGGTCCCAAAATTATCTTCTTATATTTTCCTTTATAACGAACCCCTATTCAGCGGATACCTCTATTAAGCGGACGCGGACACTAAAAAATAAATACTTGGTTAATTTCTATTGTCAAAAACCTCTATCAAGCGGATACCGGACTGAACTGACAATAGTAGTATTGGATTTCGTCCTTGAAATACGTACTGTAGTCGATTAAAAATGATAAATCAATACTGACATTTAGCTGTCAAAAGTTCACCTAAACGTCTTGCACAAAGTACAGCACAGCTTCCTTAGCTTCCTCAACAACATGGAACTTTATCACAGTACAGAGTAAACGTTCAGTGTTAATCGTTAATTAACATTGCGAAATTTTTACAAACCTCTATTAAGCGAGAAAACCGTTTTCTTTTTTTTTTGAGTCAAATGAGTCAGTGAGTCAGATCTGAAAAAATAACATTTTTGGTAGAAATAATAAAATCAAGCTTTACTTTTATTATTTTGTCTACTTGCTTCATTGCTGCCTCCACGTGCAAGGCCTACTTCCGACATGAAATCTCAACCTGGGCTGTTTGTTAGCAGTATTCCAGGCCCTTCCGCTACCACTACGTGCATGGCCCGAAGAATAGCAGCCTTCCCAGACATCCTTTAAGAACCATTTAAAGCATCAGATCAGACAATCCATATTACTAGATGTTCCATAGGCGAACTAATGTACATAAACACAAACAAAATGCAAAGAATGAATGCCCAAAGATTTTCATCAATCAACGAGCCTTGAAAGTTATTTAAAATTACAATGGGTATACACAAGAGAGGATAAAGGCGATAGAGGGCATCCCCCATACACACCCTATTCCATAGTTAATTCGTCTCGAGTTATTTTTAGAATCGGGATAAAGCTACCTCGCGCGCTGCGTGGGTGTTTCGAGGAGGTTTCGCATGACTAAACGCCGTGCAAAACATGTCGGGCGAAGGGCAATGAAAGCGTAAAGAGATCGAGAGCATTCCTGAATATTGAAGCAAAATGAGTCGGCGCTCACCTGGGAAAAGGAAATCGCTCCATCTCTTCTTCCGAAAGACGCCTTTTTGCTTGATTTGGTGACGGTCGAACTCGAAGGCGCAGGTTTAGGCTTCCCTAGACTTTTCCTGCTCTTCGCTTCATCTGCTGAACTATCATCGGAATAGGAGCTTTCAACGTTTTCTTGTATTTCATTGGCACTCTCCGTTTCGGCTACAGCTTTCTCCTCGCTTGCATTTCTTCGCTAGAACTCTCAGCTTCGCTCGAATCAACGTCGTTACAATGCCTAGAAACAAGCCAGGAAGGGGGATCTTTTTTTAATTTCCGTTTTGCTGACACAGCTTTAGCAGAAATCTCTCTGTAGTCGTTTTCGTCAACAAAACGAATAGCAATATCGCTCTACGCGTCTTCCGCCATTTTGTTCTGCGTCAATTCGTGAGGGACGCGTGTCTCTGAGCGTGCGTCATCCACGCGGAGCACATTCGCGCTATGTGATTGGCTGTAGTCTAATACCACTTGGGATCTGTGATCTTAAAAATAACTCGAGACGAATTACCTGTGGAATAGGGTGTGTATGGGGGATGCCTTCTCTGTTCCCTTTATCCTCTCTTGGTATACAGTAATACCTCAATAATAATAATTCGTACACTGTATGTTTCTAATATAAACACTGATTGTGTACAACTGTTCGACTCACTGTTTCATACCCCTCCTCGGGCAAATTACAATTCAGTTTGTTCGCCTCGTAGCATCATTCACCTTTTGAGGCAAGTAAAACTCATCGGAAAAAGTGGTCAACTAAATTGGGAATTAAGGTTATCTACTGAAAACAACTCTGCAACTGATTGCTGGAACGAACGCTTTAAAACACAAATTGTCTGTCGTGGGATGGATCGTCTTCAGTGTGTTCATGATCCACAGCAATCCATGGAATAAAAGAACATTATATTCCCCTTGATTTCTCACTAAAACCTAATGAAGCTAAATTTTATTGTTTCTACCAAAACTTTTATTTGTTCATATCTCACTCAATGACTCATTGACTCATGACTCATTGACTCATTTGACTCATTACCACTTTAGACTCTTACAAACAACCAGATTTGTCGCCAAGATTTACTTGTAAAGTAAACCTGTCGAACATAAATTTTTTTCGAAACACAAAAAAGCCGGCCTGACTTTTTTTTTCTTTTGGCCTTCCCTTTAGACAGAGGAATGCAACGTGTAAATTGGCAGCAACCAAGGACTATCGTGTTGCATAAAGTTATGTTTTGGGGATGTCCTATTATCTGCATAGTCTCTGTAACGGAGTGGTTGGAGAGGCTACGAATTAATCTTATAAAATAAAGGTGGTCTAGGTTGGTGACTGGGTTTAACTTCTTTGTTTGGGAAAAATGTGTTTCATCTACTTTGATCGAAGAAGATGCTGCTATTTTTCGGTGTACATATAAGACTATTAACGCGATGTAAAATTTGTTTTACTCTTGCACTGCCAAATTATTTTTCTCTAAAATCACTTTCCCTCAAAATTCTCAAGAATGTACCTTAATTTTTGTTGTTAGATTTAAATTATTAATTTATTAACGTGAGCTTCGCTTTTAGCCCTGGCTAAATCTATATATTATGTAGGGGCAAAACGACTGATCTTTTATCTGAGCCCGCGAGATGGTCATGCGATAATTGTCAGCGGATGTCTGATTTTGACAGCTGTCAATCTAATCGTACTCATACGGATGGCTTACATAACTGAGAGGCTAGTCAAGTTGTGCAAGATCTATTGTGACATTTGCCATCGGCTTACATGAAGTGTGTGTACGGGTGGGCGGGCGTACGCTACGTCATAACCAAATTTTCTCGGATTGATAGTTTACCAAATTTTGTTACTCATGATCTGCTACAAAAAACGTTTTTGTCTGAAGCAGTTGCTGCGAAATAACCCTGGGACGTACATGGGAGGGGGATGGTCCCTCGCCCCCCTCCCCGTGAGATTTTTCTGAGTTTTTTCGTGGACGATAAAACACCAGCACCTGATGCTTTCAGTAGCTGTTTGTTTATCTCTAGCACGCATTTTGAGACAAATTTAGTGATGGTCAGTTACTATGGTTAAGAGATATGACGTCATAAGTAGCAAATGCTCAAGCCATTTTTGAGTGGAAATGCATGTTGTCGCAACTTTTTTTTTAACAACTGAATGTAAAGATTGTGGATAAAATGAACCAAAATGTTTATTTATTTGTTATTTTAAGCGTCAAGCATAAAAAATCACCATTTCTTGCTGTTTTAACCTCATTTCTAATTCTTGATAAAATCCAAGATGGCGGCCAAGATGGCGACCATTGTTGGTGACGTGACAGGCCTCCAGCAACGCCATCACGCATAAAATATACCTCATCTTGTTGAGAAGATCAAAGGCTTTCCACTGATGGCAAAATCGTTTCGAAATACTGCAACGTATCAAAAACTGTAGGGCAAGGGGGGTTTTATCACCCCGCCTCTTGTACCACGGTGGGGGTAAGAATTTGCGTGTACGTACAAGGGTTAAGCTCACCGCCACTTACGAGGGCTGAAAGTAATGGTTATAATCTTATGGCTGCAATAGTACGAGCGCTCTGATTGGCTGCTAAGCGGGCAAAATTTTCTTGTAATGACCGGGCAAAAGTAGCTAGGCCTCTATGACCTCTTGCGCGCAGATTTTAAAGAAATTTAGAATAGCGAATATAGTATTGATAACAGCGCAAAAAAGCCGAATTCCATATTTGTTTCATTATTCATTCAAAATAATTCCTAGTTTAAAAATATTCTCCAAATAGCAGATGTGGCCCTTCGAGTTGTCTTCTTGCTGTTCTTGCCATGTTTTAGCTATTATTTCGCCTAGTTCTTACTCTTGAAAGGAGTGAAATGTCCGCCATTTTTGCTTTTACAACCAAAACAACTCAACCTCGTCCCCAGGTCTTCTCGGTTAACGGTGCATTAACCTGCAAGCAAGCTGCACTTTTGACGTCATCGGTTCATTAATCGCAAAATTCTTCCAAGTTAGGTCATCAGTAGCTGGTTATGGTGAATTATGAGTGTGCTTTTAGTCAACCAGAATCGGGGAAATATTTTGAATGAATAATAAACCTCATTAAATTCGTCCATTCGGTCATTACAAGGAAATCTAAGACCTCGGCCTTGATGTATTGACTTCGCTATCGCTCTGTCAATACATCATGGCCTCGGCTGAGATTTTCCTATAATGATCTCACTTTCGGTTAACAAGGGGTATGTATTGTTCAAATGTCACGCGCGTGTGTGCCGGGTGATTATTGTCAAGCGTTTGTCAGGCTGGAATGTCGCTCGTGTCTTGATCGTCGAAGTTTTTTGCATTGAGATTTGTTAAATTACAACATGTAATCAGTATATTCAACATGAGCATGTACATGTAATAAGCACATTGATATTAGGAACAAACACGCTACAGATTTTGCCAGCCTTATTATCAATCTGCAATAATGAAGTACAGCGTAGTGTTTTCCAGCATATAGTGATCTGAAGTGTAATTGTTTGTAACAAATTCCTGTTGATAGCAGGGAGATGAATTTACGTAGAATAACATGAACCAATCTCTCCTGGACTGGAAATGTGTACGACAATTACGTGTCCCTCCGCAAAGATAATTGTTCTCATGCAAGGGCATGCTGGAATGTATAGCGCGTGAAATTCATCATGCTAGCCATGCCTTTACTATATACTGTTCTGCTTACCTAAACTGCGGCCTCCCAAATCAATCCAGTTACATTTCCTTAAGGGCAAGCTCGTTAATCCCCAGGGGAATACAGTCGACTCTCCAGCGTGCAAAGAGAGTAGTGTCCTATAGCCTGGGGCTAGTGGTTGCCATCGGGCAAGTGAATTCTGTTCTTAAAAGTCAACACTTACTTCCATCCACCAAACTGACGTTGACAGATTAATGATTCGTACACAAAGTAAAAGTTAGGGCTAGGTTAGGGTTAGGGTTAGGGTTGTTGCTATATATATTCAAAGCAAACCATACATTGTCAGCAAATCCTCGGTGGTGTAGGGGTTAAGGTGATGCACTGCAGAGCCCATGCTCCGAGATCGAATCCTGAATTGAAGAGACTTAGACTTTTATGAAGAGAAATTTCAAGAAACACAGAAATTTCATGTAAGAAAAGTGAAATGTCTTGTGAGAGCCACTGAGAGGGAAATGTCAGTTTGGCGGATGGAAACAAGTGAAAGAGGCTATGTCAGCTGGACAGCATGCGCGCTGAGGTTATGAAATTACTTTCAACTGTCAAAATTCTATTGTTTTTAACGCGTGGCTTTCTCCATGCTCTCTGTCACGTCCAAGGCTCCGAAATTTAGAGAGAGGTTAACAAGCGAGTTGGGTTTGGATAAGTGATATTTCGATAGAATTTACGGAAAGTTTCTTCTCTGGTTTTGCTAGATCGTTAACTTCTGCTTTGTGTACTTATTTATCAATAAATGAAATTGAATTGAAAAAAAAAAAAAAAAAAAAAGAATAAAAGTGTTAAGACAATTTTACTTGTAGTTTTGAAGTAAAACGCATGCCATTCATGAAAATAGAGCGCGAACAAGAATTCAGCAAAAACATATTGTCTTAAAATAAATCGTCTTAAAATAAATCGAAGTTTTATTTTATAGACGAGCTACAAAAGACGCAAGATAAAGACCGAGACTGTTTCAAGTCATTAACAATTAGACTTGTCTGTCGCTACTGATTTGATAATTTAGATGCTGACAGAACAAGAGACATCAAGTCTTTGTTTTGATCTTAGGGCAACACACATTTATCGCGCAAAATTGTTCGATCGCCGGTGCCGAATCACTGTGACGTCGAGAAAAACAGAACCAAGCATCATTGATATACTACTCCATTGTAAGTAGTCCGTTGATAAAAGGGGAAAGTAAACTCTGCTATTTTCCAAAAATATGCTCGAACACAAACACTTCAAAAACATGGCATTCACAGGATCTAACTGGTACTGGTGCCTCTCTAAGTCTGTTGAGAACAATCCGGACGAGCAAACGGTCGTGTTTATCGTTGCTGTGAATCAAGATAAATACAAGAAGGAATCTAGCCGAATTTTATAAAGTTTCCTTCGGCAGTTAGTTTCGTCACGAAACTCATGGCCATGCTGTTGTAATCGTTTTAAAAAAACAGCTGCCGCCAACTCGATAGCCGCTTCATTATATGTCCACATACTTTGAGCACAAAAAATATCCAAGAGCCAGCAGCCTCTAAAATAATCAACAGAAAGGTTTTGTGAACTATAGGGAAGATGTTATCAAAGATTCCACCACTCATTGTGGGGTAGCTGTCGCCGTTAACTCTGCCATTACAACGGCCGCTGATAAAAGGACACTGTAAATCCACGGAAAAAAATTCCACGGGCAAACAATTTCAACATAACGCCAAAAAATTCTTCTGTAATCAACATAGAACTATTCTTAATACAAAACTTCGCTAACTATCAAACGATGGCTGAGATTTAGACAGATAAAAACAGCTTTCCAAAATCTCCGACAGAACTTGAAAAAGGCGGGCCGACTTTTTCAAGTTTGTTTTCATTGGCTCGCGCATGCGTCAGGGGTGACGTAGCCCCTCTAACTTGCCCGGTGGGCAATTGAAGTTTTTTGATCAAGAATTCAAATTACAGTAGAACCGTTAAATCAATTCTGCTCATCAAAACGTTTTTGGGGCTTGTTGAAATGACGTTTGGGCTAGTATATGCTAGCCTCAGCTTGTCCGAATGGCAAGCTGTAAAAATGACATTCTTTGCACCCTGCTCTCTGTTAACGGATACTTTTGTAAGACGGACACTTCTGTAAAACGGACACATGGGGTTGGTATCTTCCTTTCTTTACTCCCTTTATTTGACTCTCCATAAGAAGGACATCTCTCAAGGGTGTCCGTCTTGGAGAGAGTTGACTGCATTCCCCATGATGACCTATACGGGGAGGCTCCCCCCGAAAGGGGTATCTTTTTCAGGCTTTAGTTATATGAAAGGGTAGGGACTAATCAGTTGAGGTTTATAAAAGGGTGGGGACTTTTGTCATGTCGGTCTGTAAACAAGGTCCGAAGGGGTTAACAGTTGCATTTTTGTCTTTCATAAAATCTTCTGGCTTGGTGATTTATTCATATTTTAAAGACAGTGCATTTGCAACAGTTAAAAGGGATGGAAAGCTCTAAAGTAGGTATATGAAAGGGTTACCTTTTCCGTCAAAAATTGTATAGAAAAGGCAAAGGGGTTTGACCTGGGGGCAGAACCTCCTCTTATAAAACTTTGAGGAGAGTCCCCTGGGCGTTAATCATATAGAAACAGTTTATCTATATATGTAAGAGTTTAGCGTGAGTTAGTTTTTGCCGAACAGTGGTTTAAGAAATCTTTCGTTACTAACTTATGACATTTAACTAAAACTGTGTTGTTTACGTATTTCACCTGTTTTATCAGTGCTTTTTATCCTTTCAGTCTTTTATGAAGAGCAAATCTTCTGGAGATCCTCTCAAATTTACATTTAAAGCTTTCCTGATGGAAGAGCCATCAACGTTCCCAAAGGATGCCGTGGACGGAATGTTGCTTTCATTGAAAGAGTCTGCAGAATGCTGTAACCTCGATAACCTCGTGGAGGTTTGTTTGTTCTTTGCTTGAGACGAAAGCTTTGTTAAATGCTTTGCTTTAAATATATTTTCTATGTAATTAGCCTTGGGAAATTCCCTTAAGCAATACGGCAGAAGATCAGGTTTGTAGAAGGGGGAGATGAATAAAGGTGTTTGGGAGATAGAGCTCCCCAGGATTCTGAAAGATGAGCAACATTTAGAATCGTGTCCGAGTATATGCGGATGGAGTTCAGAATATAAGAGTGTGCAATCCTAATTCCTCGCGAAGGGCCGAGCCGCGAGGTTTATAATCTCATCGCGCGCGAAGCGCGCATGTATCACACGAGCATCGCAAGGCCAGCGTCATTTTCTCTTGGCTATAAATCTATCGAGTTTGGTTGGTGTCCGCCTTGACGTCATCCAGAGTAGTGACGTCAAAGTGCATTGTGGGTTTCCAGGCAACCGATTGCCATCGATGACTTATTCATGAAGAGGGTTTTTTCATATGTGAATTATAACAGTGTTTACGGTCGCTGAAGCACCACCCATTATCTCAGGCAAATAAAAGAGAACAGCAAACTCAACAACAGTGGATTCAACAAGTGGCTGGAAATCCTCGCTGGGAAAGATTTACAAACAAAAATCCGCAAGACCGAGAACATCGACGTTACATTCAGGGCGAGCAACGGCACTGCGAAGGCAAACGCTGTCAACTAAAGGCAGAGGATGTAAAGAGGCAGCAACAAAATACTACAATTACACTGCAAACAAAGCCGACGGAGAGGGGGAACACCGACTGCCGACGTTTCAGCAAAATGCGTTCAATAGAATTCGGAACGAAACCAACGAGGAATGATCGAGAGGCAAGTTTACAGTCAAAATTATCCTCTTCGATGCAACGATAGGCAGCAAGAATTACACCATCTGTAAAATCGACGTGAGGAGTATCTTTCCGACGGACTGAGGACAGCCAATCAGCCTTTTCACCGTTTTACAGTAAGCTTTATTTTACAATGAACAGTTTAGAACACCGACAATGTGTGACATGTAGGTAGGGAAGCGTTACATTTGTAAACAAAATCCTTACTGAAGAAAATTTTGCGTTTAAGCTTACAATTTTCATTCAATTTCCTTCACAAGTAAAATATATAAATGTGTGTATAGCAGCCTTATACATAAACACAGCTGTGTCTTTTATGTCAAATATAACAAAAATTTATTATCGCTGGCCTCATATATTTTCGTTCCAAAAGACCATCTGTATTTCGGATATCCTCAGAATAATAGTGTGTGACATGGTTGCCATGCTAGGAACGTTAATTCCTTTCGCTGTTAGGGAAAATTTAAGAAGTCAGTCGTAAAATTTCACTCTTTCAAAGAAGTCAGAGAGAGGTGACATATTCATAGAAATAAAACATTTGTTCCATTGGCAGAAGAAGATTGTTTCAAGAAATTGAACGACATGCAAACAGATATAGGGTTTCCCATTTAAGATCAATCCATCCTTCACTTAGCTTTACATTCACTATAAATGTATGTAATACAGGGAAAATTTTCATTTGACTCGTCTCAGCCTGGGAATTTAAAAATCTATGGCTCTAGTACTTTCTCAACAAGCTCATGCATGTTTATAATGGACACCAATGGAGAAACTGATCACCTTCAACATGACTTGCTTGTGGACATTTCTTACAAATTCACTCTTGCATGGGTATTTGTTTCTTATGCATGTACACGAATGCCTAAGTGATAAAAAAAAAATTGGTACTTTTTACATGGATTCAGTTCTTTATGATGAATGCCCGCATATTCAATGATCGTAAGTCATGGTCACTTTAATAATTCTCATGAACTGCATCCTTAATGACATTGCTACTTGTAATTTTCTATTTCAGTGATTATGTTTGCACTTTACTGTTAAAAACAATAGTTGTCAAGTGTGATTATGTACCAAAAAAAAGTGCAAACACTTTTGTAGCTGTAGCTGACCTAGCAAACATTTTTTTCTCCAATTACCAGCATTTAGCTGTTGTTTTCGCTGCAGCATTATCTCCTACCATTGCCATCCACTCACTACTACTGACACATTTCACAAATAAATATTACAATTAAGGGTGAGCTTTTATTAAGCAAATGCAACTACATATTAGTCAGCAGTTATCCACTATCACCCCCATTTCCTTTTGACCCTAATAACACATGTAGGAGGGTCAAATGGGGTGAACACGGGATGGGACCTATGCAGCATTGGCTAACAACAGCAACCCCATTTAAATCTCAGAAGATCCTGGAAGCACTGGGTTCAAATTTAATCCCCAGGAGATTAAGTACATCTCAGTTTCCAATATTAGACCAGCCTTCCCCTGTCCTCCCACCCCTTATGGGCTTCGCCCCCGAGCTTCGCGAAAAGGTGTGCCAAAGTGAAGGAATTGTGCTTCCTGGGGATAAAAAGGTACCATCACTGAATGGAGAGGATAACGAAAACTGCGAGTATCTTGGGGTGCTTTTGGCGGATAATAATAATTATAGTGAGATGAAGGAGAAGATCCAGAAGAAATGTTTCCGCAAAGTTAAGACGAAGCTTAAGTCCAAGCTTAATGATGGCAATACGATCAAAGCAATAAACTCTAGAGCAGTTTCCAGTGTTAGGTACGGGGCAGGAATTGTTGATTGGACCAAAGAGGAGCAGAAAGTAATGGATCGCAAAACACGAAAACTGATGCATGAATGAATGAATGAAGTAATCCTTTATCGTCCATTACCCCCTCGGGCTGAGGTGGACCGGCTGTACTTTAAAAGATCAGAGGGTGGGCGCAATGATATAAAGAGTTACCTCTAAGAATCCGAGGGAGGGTTGTGAAAAGCTGTATGCAAAGGTAATGTTCTTCAAGAGAAGGATCCTGGAAAGAAAAGAGAATCATAGATAGACGATCATACCCGAAAGTACCGCAAAAAACCCCTCCATGGACAGTTTATCAGAAGTTGCGAGGAAATTAGGCACTTGAATTCGTGGGCATGGCTGAAGAGAGGTAAGCCAAAAAAAGAAAGTGAAGGTATTATCATGGCCGCACAAGACCTGGCTTTGCGAACAAACAGTGTAAAGAAGCCAATTGACAATCAAAATGTTTCCCCAGCATGCAGAATGTCGTATAAACATATCAACATGCAGAATGTGTAGAGAAAGAGAAGAGACAGTGAGCCATCTAGTAGCAGAATGCACTTCACTTGCACAGAAATATTTCAAGGCATGGAGACACGATAAGGTCGCCCAGGTTATCCACTGGGATCTCAGCGAGAAATTTGGCATGAAAAAACAGCAAACTGGTATGACCACGAACCGCAGTCTGGGATTCTGAGAAGAAAACACTGTTGTAGGATCCAAAAAGCCTATCACATTGAACACAACTAGCCCGATATTGTGCTCCTAAATAGGGAAGAGAAATCGTGCTATATAATTTATAGCAAAAAGGGAAGATCGATAATTACTGGGACTTGAAATACGAGATGAAACGAATTTTCGTTCAGTTCAAGTTATTGCAAAAGTAATTGGTGCACCGGGAACAGTTTCAAAAGGATTTGATTTGCGGCTGCACAGTTGGGAATGCAATATTGCATGGAACTCTACAACGATTAACCTTGCTGAAGTCAGGTTCAGGATTCTGCGAAAAGTGCAGGACACTTAATTATATTAAGGACGGAATGATGGTAAGGAGTATCCTAGGCCACAGGCTGCGACCCGATACTCAGTAACATTTCCTGAATTATGTATTGATAGGCTTGTAATAATTATAAAAGTAAATTGTAATTATCATAAAAAATTCACCAGAATCCTTTGAGGCATTTTTTAAACAGGTTTATAACTTTGACAGTTTTATACGTAGAAGACTGACAGACCACAACAAGTTAACATTTGCCATAAAATATCTTCCCATGTCACATCTAAGGTAATGACGTCATCAGTCACGTGACTATCGCTGAGTTTTTTGTTGTTGTTTTTGCTGTGACAAGATGTCAGAAACGAGTTAAAACGTAAAAGGGTGTATTTGGCGGCCATATTGTTTTTCTTCATTCCGGGGAGAGAGATCATGTAGCAGTTCTTCTGACCCTAAAAGCCAAATGGTTTGCTACCTTAACCTAAAACAATGAAAATAATGATAAACAATGTTGTGTTTTACCCGACCGATGAAAAGACACCTTACGAGCAGGGAGAGAATCGTACGGTCATACTGTTCAGTGGTAGCCATGCGATCGATAGTTCATAAATTTCTTAAACGTTCCCCGGCATGGACCAATCCTGAAAGTGTTTTAATAGGTTTATTGTGAGATTTACGTCTGGCTTCGATCAGTTAAAGATTTAATTCTACAGGGAAACCGAAAAAGTCATCCTTGAAAACTGTCAATCACCATAGAGAAGGAATATGTACCTCTTTTAGACTTAAATTGTTGATGTCTACCGAGGTGGTGTAGTGGATGGAGGCGGTAACTTTTAGTTCTAACTGATTCGGGTTCGAATCCCTTTGAAGCAAATTTTTCGTAACCTTATATTTTTTCCTTTTTCTTTTTTACTACCTTTTCTACCTGTGTGGTGCATATAGCTAGTAATATAATGTGATAGATAGCGCTGCGCACAGATTCTAAAAATAGTCTGCGTCTGATAAGATCCCCCGCATGACTCAGACAAACTTTGCTTCTCACTCAAAAGGCTTTGTATGCGCGTTTATAACTATTGTTGAGTCAAATCATTGTTTTTTTCGTGTATTTTTGTCGGGATATGGTAAACAACAAACGTTGCAGCTGGGAAACATGTGAGATCCCTGAAAAAGTGGTCTGAGTTACTAAATAAATGCGAGAAATCCGGAAAGAAAGCGACGCTGTGTTTTGTGGCAGTGACCAGGCAGCCGGGAAATGTTTTGAAAGAGATAGCTACATGACGGTCTTAAATTTATTCCATTTTCACAAATTCTCCGATTTAAAATGCTTCTTTAGAAATCTCAAGCGTTTTCAAACATTGCCCTTGGTTTGAGGTAGACTCAATCGTCAACCTTGGGTATTTTGTGAATTCTAATTGTTTTCAACACCTCACCGGCGTGACTCACTGAGTCAGTTTTCAGGGCATCCAGAAAAATTACGATCGAAACCTCCCTGAAACATTTGATGTTTCTTCGCAAACGCCAAGCAATTCTAAAACAGGTTTGGTCTTGTAGTGGACGAATTCCCCGAGCTTGAGCATAATTATTCGAATCTCGAATCGCGGGGGCGGTTTTCAGAATACTGTAGCCCGGAACGGCCCTGTAGTCTAAAATGTAAACTACGTAGGTCTCTCTGTTTTTCACGAAAATCTGAACTTATCGAATATCTGGTACGACTACGACTCTTTCTACTTCGGCACAGAAATCTAAATTTCTAAACAATTATCAAATTTTCTTTAAAGAATTTGATGAGAATTCCTGGGGGTGCTAGAGAACGTTCGACAGAGAGTATCTACGCAGGATATATATTATATGGTCCAGCCCCCTGTCTGATTGTAACCATGTGCAGGCAACTGATCAGTATTATGCACTCCCGGTGCTGCGGTACTTAATGTAGACACAGCATTGGACTCTGTGAGAGTTAAGAGATGTGAACAGAGCAGCTCGGAAGATCATAGTCGAGAACGGTGGCAATCACCCAGCTAGCCTAACTTCTTTTTTATATGTACCGAGGGAGAAAGGGGGTAGAGGCCTGCGATGAGTCGAACACGAGTACAAGCTCACTAAAATCAAATCGCTACTAAAAGTGTATCAGAATTCGGACCAGACTGTGGAAGCAGTTAGAAAATTTTTAAGAACACGCCATGGCATCAAGCCACTAGTCGCTTGTAAAGGAAGCAGCTAAGTACACTGAAGAACTCAACATCACACTTCAGCTACTAGTTATCCTAAATCTCGTGTGTGTTACAACGAAAGGAAAGGTGGTGACTGCAGCGAGAGCTGGGATTCTGTTGAAGAAATCCCAAGAGATGCAGTTCTTGGAGATCGCTAAATACAAAAAGTGGCAAGGAAAGTTATGCGGTATCAGATGGGAAGATGAGAGCCTACACAAAAGGAGAAGACGCAAACCTACACTGACGACCAAGTCCTATGCAGGTTATGTGGGAAGGTAGCTAAGATCGTTTCACATGTACTGGCTGAATGTTCCTCCCTGGCACGAACCAAGTACCTATACAGGCATACTGCATCTTTAAAGATTGTGTTTTTGAGCTCCTGCGAGAGCATGGGTTGAAAGAAGAGGTTCCTCCATGGTAACCACCGGTGATGCTAAAACCAGCCTACCAGAACACCACGAGTGAGGCGTTTTGGGATATTCCCATCTTTTCAGATTACAACGAAGTTAGAGCAAATCGCATCGACGCGCAACTTGTCAGCCACGAGAGGAAAGAAGTCTGCACAATTGAAATGAGCTGCCCATGGATTGAGAGTAGAGCCAAGATAGATGAGGAAAAGACACTCAAGTATGGGCCCATGATGTGGGAGCTGAAGCAGAGATAGAATGGCTTACAGGGTTGAACAGTAACAACGTAATAATACAACGTACTGGGTGGCCCCTCTAAACACCTAGAGAAGTCGGTGAGGAAGCTACTAGGAGCAAGAGCACGGGGCGTACTTGAGCGGATGCAGAAGCCGGTCATCTCAAACACTTTGAACATTGCCAGAACATTTAAGTTAAATTCTTAGTTTGGGCGCTAAGGACACCAGAATTTTTTTTTTTCCCAGAAATCCAGAAACACATGTGTGGCAAAACCTGTATTTTACTGATGCTTTTACGTGCATTTTATAGAGTATAAACGTTTTATATTATTCTATAAATAACCTTTTAGTAGAGGTAACCACATTATGATGGCCTCGTGTAGGTTTATAAGAGAAAATGGGAGTATGAAAACTGAATAATTTTCTAAATAGGCTTGTTGTAAAGATAATTATATCCTCATGTCTTTGCGTAGGTTTTACAGAGTATAAGAATTTAATAATATTCTAAATTGGCTTTTCAAGCAGAGAGATTTATATCATTATGTGTATGAGGATTGTATTAGGTTTCAAACCGAACTTTTCCTACTTCTAAGTATAGCTTCTCAAGTGGTGTAGGTTACGTTATGCGCCCTATACTACTCATATTGTGACCAGCATTCCAAAGTTTTATACTGCGAGATAATAATAGCATCAAGAGTGTATCGGAGTGAATAAGTTCCCTTGTCTCTTTCGGTTTCTACTATATATTGTTTAAGAAACACATCGACTTTACGGCATCTACGAGCCAGGAGTATAAACAAAGAACGCCTTCTAACTTTCATCCCTCTATTTACTTTATAGGGCCTTATCGATAAAGTGTACATGAAATGGGAAAAGTGGTGCCAAAAGGATAAATCATGCCTGTTTTCTCCAGCACGCCAATTGTTAAAGGGTCTCGATGACTACGTCAAAGCATGCTTACGTTTATCGTGGCGTATAGTTACTCAGGTCCCACCAATGAGACTCGAGTATCAGACCGCTAAATTCAATACAATTATCCACACAAAAAGGGGATACTATGATGATTTCAATGGGCAAGTAAAGACAGTTTCACCAGCTCAAGAGACTCAGGAGGAAAATATTGCGTTATATCTATGGCCTGCCCTTCGAGATGGTGGAGGAAGAGTAATAAAAGCAGGAGAGGTTGTATGCGTCATTCAAGAAGAAGACAAATAGAAGTAAGTTTAGAAACATAAAAGTTTGGGGCCCGATCTCATTTTTCGACGGTTTTATCCACTCAGTAAAACACGGCAAAGAAAAAACTTCTTAAGGGTCAATTATCGTATCTCGTTGCTAGGTAAACCGGTTCACTATGCAAAAATTATTTCCCGTGTTTTTGGACTGCCGGCCTGTCCAAGACTAGCCTGTGAACAGGCTCTCTGTTTGGGGAAAAAATAGCAAGGAAAGGGAAGGGAAGGGGGGAGAGAGCCTGTAGACACACATTTGAGGCCGCTATTCCGCCCTCTTGTAATTATCTTGCCGAACATCTGTCAATCAATTTCGCGCGTGAGTAACTCCTGGGAAAATTAACGGGAAAACTTCCGTGTTTTGCTCCGTCTCAAAACAAAGTGAAATGGACCGCGAGCCTAATTGTCGATTTTGCAAAAAATCGTTGATCTCCGGTAAGAGAATTAATACGGTGCCGGTCGTTGGCGTTTCAAGAAATAAGACCTTGCTGGTTGACAGTGGCCAAGACAGCGTTGTACTAGCGCAAGCATTTGATTCCTCAAGATTTCCTCTTGTGCAAGGAGAAAGCTTTTCCTATTTAAGCTGCTTAACTTGTGCTCCACGCGCCGTTCGTCTTGCTAGTTCAGTTTCTAATTCAACAAGCCCCTGCAATGAGGGAACTTGGAATGCGAAAGGTACAGATACTATCATGACTTCTCCAGAACGTGAACCCCCAAAGACAAGTACAAAGAAATCAACAGCGCTTTGATCGCCGACAGGAATTACACCTTTGGGCATTTATCCCGCATTTATAGCAATAAAAGAGGGCGGTAGGCCTACACGGCGTTTACCTCACGCCAAAATGCTGCCTGTTCCGATAAGTTTTTTCCTCTGCTCGGTAGATTATGCTCTGGAAGGTTCTACACTTTCACTGAGCGAATATGATTTTAGCCGCTTGTTTCACACTCAGAGGTCATGGCATACATATCGATTTACTGTGGTTTTTGTCTCTGGTCGGCAGGATTTGCCCTCTGATATAAGAGCATTTTCTTTGACCTCTTTTGAAGCGTAAAGCTTTTTATTGCGGCTGAATAAGGGTCGTACTTTTCTCCAAAGTGCCTTCTGGATCTGAATAACTAAGCGATTTTCTTTAGTCCGTAAATGTAATGTTTTTCTGAAATTTTGTATCACGCTGGGCCCAGGTCGTTAGTTTTCTTTGCAGAATGTTTAAAAATGATCACGGATAGTTCCCCACTCGACCAAAGGCCTGTTCACAGGCTAGTCCAAGACTGCCTAGAAGATTGTTTTAAATCACGCTCCAGGCTGCCTTATGTTGATAATGGTAAATTACAGCTCCCGGCATCAACTTCGGCATCAGGTTTTTCGTGCCTCGGTAATGTTGCTACGTATCTACATTTACGTAAAAAGCCACCCGAAATTTCACCGGTCAAAGATGGCTTGTACTCTTTTTTTTGTTTTGTTTTGTTTTTTGACGCCTTTGACTTTGAAAGGAAAGGGAAAAAAGCAAGCCAAAGCTATTGTGAGTAGCAATTCTGTTAAGTTTGATGATACAATGAGTACTTGACTAAAATGCCCTTTTTTTCCAGAAGTAATCGTCCTCAGAGAAGGCAATAACAACCAAAGTATCAAGTTGGAAGAATAGTAAAGAGGAAAAAGTAATAAAAATAAAACCAGACACCCAGCTCAATCATGTGAACAAAATGGCACTGAAAGTCGTCTAGATGATCTTCATCGATGGAAAACGGGAAAAGAGAAACACACTGCTTATAGGCCAACAACGTTGTTATGCGACGTCTTTCTACTTACGTCTTCATTGGAATCCAGTGGTGTCTTAGTTAATTTTACGTTATTTTTGTTCAGAACATGGTTTGTATTTTTCATGTTTTTCTTTGAGAAAGAAACAGACAGATATCTCTCATGGTTTGGGCTAAAACCAAATGCAACTTCAACTTTCATCTCTTTTGGTTAATGTATATATGTTAGCGGGCAAAAAATTTATGTCGCAAAGAAACCATCCTCTAGTGGCAAAATAAAGTTTACCTAACCCTGTCCCACGTCAGCTAAAAGTTGAATAGCTGTAAAACCGATGAAGCTATCTGAAAACTTTTTTTTTTAAATCGTCGTGACGTGAACGTCAACAACGACGTTACCGTGATACCCGAGTTTTGACAGCCTTTCTTCAAATTTGAAGGTTTTATTCCAAATAATATTGTTACTTATTAAATGATTATAATACACTTAATTAAGCATTTTTTTTAATCAAATTTATTAAAACTGTTAACGTAATACAGGCTTTTTAGTGAGTAATTTGAGATTACCCTAATTTAAACTGATAAATTTAATTAAAGTGGAATACTTTTTAGTTAATGCAAATGACAGATTTACCTTGGCTAGAATAATAGGCCATTTGCACGATGGCGTCATTTTACTACTACGAGCGGAATTCTTTTCGTTTAGTTTTGGTAATCCCAGCAAGGTTTAAACAACAAAAGCACATTTTTTGCACATGAAAGCAGAACGCTGAAGAATTCTGGCCGTAGTAGTAAAATGACGCCATCATGCAAACGGCCTATTGACGTCATAATGACATCACTGCTATCTTTGAAGATTTGATTTTATCAAACACCTTACTATTAAGGTATTTCACCCTCGAAGGCTAATTGAAGGAAAACTGATAAAATTTGGGTTCTGCCGATAAATTCAACAAATGAATATTACTTCATAACGACTGCTTCTATCGCGTCACTCTGTTTCAAAATTACCCCTTAGTTACACCATTTGTTGAAAATTTAAATTTTGCTGTCAATCCTGTGACGTCATTTCCCACCAGAAACCGCTTAAATTAAAAGAAAATTAACATATGACTGTTTGGAATACAAAATTCTACCATCCTGCAAACTTTGGGCTTTGGCCTTGCTGGCATATCTCGTCTACCTCTACCTCGAATCTCTCGGAGTAGTGCGTGGCGATCACTGCGAGATCAGAGAATCGCTCTTCAGGCATTGTTGACCTAGAGAAGGTCTTGATTCACGCCGGGTCAGCTGTCATCAAAAAGTAAACATTTTCAATCTACTTTTTCAATTTTTAACCGTTTGAGGTGAGACTTTGCATGGTAATAGAACTTTGTATTCCCAACAATCGTATGTTTTTGGATTTTTGATTTTAACGGTTTTTGGCGCTTGAAATGACGTCATAAGATTGACAGCAAAATATAAGTTTCAACTTATGCCATAACAGGTTAGCAATTTTGAAAGAGTACTCAGAGAAGAACTTGAATGTGAAAAAATTTTTTGAAACCCTTAGTTGGTTAAAAAGATATGACATTTTAAAAATCATCAAATTTCTAAAAATAGTAACAAAATGGCGGAAAATACGAAATTCACAGCTCAATAACTTTTCAATCAATTAAGCTTTACAAATACTTTTGTCACATTTGAGCTCATCTCTGTAAGTTCTTTTAAAATTTTTAGTTTTTTTACGCCATAAGTCGGAAACAACTTTTTACTGTCAATCTTATGACGTCATTTTCGCGCCAAAAACCGTTAAAATCAAAAATCCAAAAACATAGGATTGTTGGGACTCCGAAGTTCTATTATCATGCAAAGTCTTAGCTCAAACGGTTAAAAATTGAAAAACTAGATTGAAAATGTTTACTTTTTGATGACAGCTGACCCGGCGTGATTCATTTCATCAGTCAAAACGATCGCTCAGCTTCTGCGCTTGTGATCAGGAGGGTGCAGGCAATGACCAGAAGACGTGCTAATAAAAGGTTGTTTGGAAGCTTACTATCTGTTGACTGCCAGAGTGTTTTCCATCTAGGAACTTCATTTCCAAGGGATTTGGGAAATGGATTGTCTTTCTCCCAGAACAGCATGCCTTCTACTTCATCATAAAGCTGCAGTGCCTTCTTTCAAAATCGATGGCACGACACAAAGCAGATGGCGGGCGTGGCGATCTTCGTCAAAAATCGATCCTGCATTTGGATGATTAAGGAGTCAAGAGTAGGAATAGCTACGGTCTTCTTGTTATGATCGAATGGACTGGAACTTTGGTATGAAAAAGGGATAGACATGGGTAGCCAGACAAGTTTGAAAACTTCCCAAAGGGGGGGGGGGGGTTGCAACCCCCTCGACCCTCCCCCTGGATCCTCCTCTGTTTTATCGCTGAACATCATTCTAAAGAGCTTTCCGAAATATTTTGTTAGTAGGGGTGTTTTGACACTGATCAAAATTGGTGTAAAACATCAGTGTCACACTCGCCTGCGGCTCGTGTACCACTGCTTTGTTTTTACCACATTTTGACGTCATTAGTGATGACTAAACGGACGCACGGCAACATGGAATCCATTTGCTAAACAGTCAAACGGATGGAACATGGGAAGCTTGTTCTCTTTGTTTTGTCCAACATAGCGCACAGGTTTTCAAGAAATCATGCGCTAAACTTTTTGCGTGACGCTTTAATCCGAGGAGCTTTTTGAAGGAAAAACGGAGAATCAAAACAAAAAAATCCGAGCGACTTAAAAATGACTTATTTTTAGATAAGCTCGGATTCCTTTGTTCTTTTCGGGGGGAGTATATTTCATAACCCCCGAATCAACTGTCTGAAAAGCTGGGTGCGGCTTTGATTGTTTGAAGGGAAGAGCGGGGCTAATGAACAGCTAATTAAATGCGAGGGAATTATGTATTAATATGCAAGGGAAGAAGTCACTTATCCCCCTTGCATATTAATACATAATCCCCTTGCATTCAATTAGCTTTCCATAAAGAAAAAAATTAACAAATGTTTATTGGAAATATTAAACACGACGCTATAATTACTAAATTAAACTGAGCTGCGTTTTCACGGATTTTCTTAGTTGTTGGTTCATCGATTTCCACAGCCAGATTGAACAGCGTCTTTAATATTCTCGGCTACGGTTCCACGAAAGTGTCGCTGTCATGGTAAGGTGTTCCGTTCTTTAACCAGTCATCCCAAACTCGCGTACTCCATGAGGACATGTAGTTGACCTCTTAGTGTGTTGTGGTATTCTTGCTTCATTCCTCGACTGGATTTCCTTGTAGTGATCCCTCGCCCGGAATCTTCTTTGTCAGCTCGGTCGAAACATCCTCGGTGCGAAAAACTGAAATTGTCAACTGCTTGTTCGTTGTCTGCACCCGCAAATGAAGATTCAAAATTGTTTTCCGAAAGCTCAATTGCAGTACCGCCACCGAAGCTGCTTTAGTTTGAGTAATAAACGGCTCTACTTCTGACTCTGACAATCGACACTGCTACGGATATTTAGGCTGTTTCTAGCATTCACTGCAAACAACTAATTTGAAATGCGACTTTGAAAAACTAACATAATTAAAAAGCCGAGGAACTTGTGAATGCTACCAGTGCCAAAATGGAGTGTTAAAAAACAAAAGAAAGATGAACAATAGAGGCATTTTTCGTCAATGTATTTTTGCATCCCTTGAGGAATCCTCGCCAATGTAAAAATAAGCCGTTTATCGACCTTCAGCTTGTGGTTATGTGAATTATTCCCCTCGAGGGCAACGCACGAGGGGAATAAATCACATAACCCCTCGCTTCAGGCCGATAACCCTTACTTAAATAGAAGAAGTCCTCTCAAAAGTTGTAATCGCGTGTAATCACTACTGAAAAGTCGCAGTTTTGAATTGTTTCCGCGATCATTTTACTTTAAGAAAGTGAAGGCCATTAAAAACGTTTGGAAGAAATTGCCTACAAAGGAGATTAGGAGGAAGAGAAAACGCGGTAACGAAAGTGAATATTTTTATTCAAAAAATGCCTAGACTGGCACAAATCATTGAACACTCAAGCACTAGGTTTAATGAACAAAACTGACTGAACATAGCTCGCCCACTATGTTACAAAAGCTTACGCCTTCTAACGTTAGGACATTTTTAGAAATATGTTCATCTCTTAGACAACCTGCAACAGTTGTGAACCTGTAATACCACTGATATATATAAATAACAAAGTCAGTCTTATTTATGAAGAACAACAAAACTTCAAAAAAAGGTTTTTGCCTTAGTGGCCTTACTACTGTGGAAACACAAAAGATAATACACGGTTCGCAGTTTATGCTTACTTTAAGTACATGTATGTGAGTACTTAAAAGTTATCCATTATGTAACTACTCCCCTCTTAAAATTTTTGAAGTCAACGGAAACCAGACTATGATGGGCGTTAACGTAGGATAGGTTCGTTTTTACGGCAAACCAGTGACAATCTGATTAATACCGTTCACTTTCCTAATGCTTGCACAAAAAGTCCAAATACACAGTGCCAGTATTACGGCTTGTTAGGTCAATGGCAGTTACTTTAATTTCGGTGCCTCCAAAATAGACGCAGACATCAAGGCTTCTGTCAGTGCCCTTCGAAATATCAGGAGATTTAACAACAGCTTTTCCTATCGATGACCCCACTGCATTATCAGTAATGTATTTTGCATTTGGGTCGGTAGAGGTAAAAAAGTTAAACGCGACGCTTGTTTGACTTCGCCTCAGGGGCTGGTAATTCGAAAATCTTTTAATCTCTCCTATTTTTACTGTTTCATTTTCTTTAACCAGAACCTCGAAACAATCATCACAATAAGCATCACCTTCTACAACGTACTTCTTCTCCAAAGGATGAAGGCTGGGATTAAAGCGGCGGCAAATGTCAAAACCGTAAGTTGTGGACATGATTCTGGAATCAATGACGCGCGGCTTTTGGCCAAACATCACTGCCCCTTGCACCACTGCAATAGTTGCGTCCAGCGGAACTAAAATCTTGTACCTGGAAGACAAAATTAAACGTCTGTCATATTTGAAGCTTCTAGGAGTGACTTTTTAGGATTGTCCTACCAACTGGGATAAACATTTTGATGATTTGATGGAAAGAGCTCTAAAACGTAGAGTTTGGGGTGTTGCTGCTTATACCAAATACCTTAGTCAAATTGATAGGCTATTGAGGGGGGCCTTTCGATTTGGGGATATTCAGCATGAAACATCGATTCAACAGGTTATTAAAGACAGGGATGTGAGGCTCTGGAAAAGTATTATGCTTACCTCGTCGCATCCCCTGCAGGATCTCCCCCCCTCCCCCCCCTCCCCACTTAAGAGCAGGGCTCTACGCGGTGAGTTGTATCCTTACCAGATTCCACGTGTCAATACAGGGAGGTTTAAGAAATGCTTTAAATTTGTAAATAGACGCCTCTTTGATTCTAAATAAATTGCAATTATGACTTAGACAGTTGAATCTTCATTTTATAATGGAACTTGTAAGTTTAAACGTTTGTTTAAAACCTTGAATATAGACTTTTATTATTATTATTATTATTATTATTATTATTATTATAATAAAATGAAAAGATCTCGTTTGAAGGGTTCTGTGCTACTCGTCCCTGCGGAGCAGATTGCATGACTCCCTGCCTCTCTGTCTCTCCCCATCAACCCCCCAACCCTTCCCTCTCATTCTCTCTCTTCCTTGCTCTACCGTGACAAGGATGAGTAGGACAAAAACGTGGGAAAAAGGTTGCAAAAAACTCCTCCAAGCATAGTTGTACTCGACGAATTCTCGTCGGTAACACACCTGTTCGGAAATACCTATTTTAGCCACTTTCAACTTTCAATGCTATTTAAAGTTTAAGCTTGTTATCTCACGTTTTAACTGACGATTTCGAAATTTGGGCGACGATGGTCTAGTAGCAGTTTTGAATCATCTTAGACAGATTTCAGATTTTGTGGGATACAGCAAATATGTTCATACACATTGACCATGGTATTGATTGAGAGCGTTTTTCAATGACAAAACATCCACAAATATTGTCAGTTTTTCGCCGTATGATTAACAGTTCGTCGATTAAAACGCCCGAGCTAGTCCCCCAGGTTGAGACACCACATATGGGCTATATGAGTTACGATATCTGCCGCTGTTTAGGAATGTTAGGATACCAGTTATGGAAAATCGTTCATTCACCTGAAGATTAAAGCTTCTGTCTGGGTCACAGTTAAGAACAAGGAATTAAGACTTTCGTGCCCCTGTGTTTGCTTCAGTCGGGATACACAACATTGCAGCTAATTGCGTCGTGAAAACATTGATCAATAAAGTCGAATGTTAAACAGGGATCGCTTATTTTGCTAAAATTGCATTTTAAAAAGGACAGAGGTTCGGTTTGAGAGTTTATAAAGGTATTCATTTTAGGCTGTGATCTTTTTGGTACCAACTGTGGCCAACTACCTCAGAGCTATAATGAAATTTTAAAAGTGTACCTGTCTTTGTCATTAAACACTGTGATGACCCAACCCCGAGGGTAGCTGAAAATTGAACGGTCCATCCCTTGCACAGGACTCAAAAAACAGAAGACGCGTCCCATTCTCTTTTCCGCCAAACCACACCCTATATTTTTCTGTCCGAATCCTGTTATTGACTATTAACCATGTTCTGAATGTAATCCCTCTATTGAGGATGTGATATTTTTCTTTTCTTTCCCACAAATGTTCGAAAAGGTGACAAAGGAAACAAATAAAACTATAAGCAACTATGTGTCTTCGGTTTTCGAAAGGTTTTCTGAGCCATGCACAGAATTTCATACTCCAAGATCTTGTTATGTTATTGGTTAAACTTTGATTTTATGACAGCTTTAACTGCGTACTTCAGCGCAGCTGTTTGGAGACTGAAGATATGTAACGCTGAAATTTCCTAGTTTAGCCTGGTTCCTCAATCAAATGATGCTAACTCTGAAAATAATTGAACCTTAGATGCACGATATGTTACCTGCTACTAAATTGCTTTCTTATGGCATCCTGGAGAAGAGCAGACTGGGCGAAGCCTCCCACCAGAAAGAAAAACTGCAAATCCTTAAGGCAGCGATTCTCCAGGAGGTTGGTCAGGTGCTTTACAATTCCGTCCAGAACTGGCATAAACAACTTCTTCATCGCCGGTGCTTCTAAACAGAGATATTCATTCCTAAGGAACTGTACTCCTTCTATGCTACTGGCGGGTCCACGATACTCCGATATTAATGCTGTTAAGGAACGGGGAAGTCGAAGTCTTGTCGTTCCACCCTCGAACGCTCGTCGCCCTCGCTTCTTCATTTCAAAGTCGTTCATCATGTCAAGCCATTCTCCAGGATACCTGGTAGAGAATGCTTCCACCACAGTAGTTCCGAAGAACTGCTTAAGAAGAGACACAAACTCCTCGTCTACTTTTGTTCCACCAAATGGTCCCCCGGTTACCTGGAATATTTCTTTTATATTGCCATTTGTCAAGATTTCATGAGCTGTCACGTCTAAAGTTCCACCTTTACAAGAAAAAGAAAAAGAAAACTCTGTGTATTACAGAACAAGAATTTCAGTGCTGTTTCGCAGACGACTTTACCAGGGTTTAGTTTCGTCTGCGGCGCAGGCTAATATATATTTAAATGCAAACAAAAGGTCAGAAATGTACTGACGCCACCTCTACTGAATTTATACAGCTATTTCGAGCAAGGTTGTCGGATAAAGTGCACGCGACAACCCCGAAAGGTATCGTGGGTGGTTTTGAGTTCACTGTTTTTCAAAGAAATTTGGTGGTAAAGGAAAGCAACAACAGTAGGTTTGACAGTTACAGTGTCAGGAACACTGTATTGAACATATCCCAGGTTACCTGTCGGGATTGTCGCCTGCACATGTTTTCGACAACCTTTCTCAAAATAGCTGTATATCAGACTTGAACATCTCAGGTTTTGCTCAAACAAGCGTAATTTACAGTGTTAAAGAAACGTGCACTGCACTCTGTTCCTCCTCTTGTTCTTAGCATTTTAGTTTCTCGTTCATTTTATAACAAGGTAAGTGAGTTATTTTTACTAAAAATCACTGCCGTTACTTAGACCTTAACTCTTGAATACGACATAAATAGAGAATGGGCAGAAAAGGAGGTCGATCTTGAAAGTCTGACAATTAAGATAGACAGTTCTATGCAACAAAAGATAAAAGATGTCGCATCAAAGCTACTAGGATGATTAAACACTCAAAGACAAGATAAGTGTCGCCCCATGTAAGGGAATCTGTGAAATTTCTGCATGTGGAATCCGGAATCAGGAAATATGGAATTCTAGGCTTTGGAATGTAGGTCAATTCCACTGATAAAGGCTGCAATCCAGTACCTGGAATCCGTAATCCACGCCGAGGAGTTCAGAATCCAAGACTGTCAGTCTTGCATTCCCTTACACGGGGCGAACTGAATGCTATTACATCAGATAGATTACCTCCAATATCTACCACCAAATATTTTGCTGCTGGGCGTGCAAATATGTCAGATACAGCAGCATCCCCTCTCTCACTTGTGAAGTCCTTCATCTTTTTGTCTCTGCAATGAATTGATGCAGCTTCTGGTTCTAACGCAATAAGTAGCTGTTCCGGGTTATTAGCAGAAGCAATACCAGCCTTCAAATAAGGATAGAATGGTATTACACGGAGCAGAGTTATTATAGCCTCGATAACTCAATAGCTCATTTAGAAAACAACCTGCGAGCACCGTTCAGCTGCCTATGGTGCATTTCATTTTTTCAATACCCTTAAAAATAAGAATCCATCGGAAAAATATATTTCTATCATGACTGTGTCCAAGTTTAGAAGAATAATTCTGATTAATGTAAGTTTTATCATAGGTGACAATGAAACACAATGATTCGCAGTTTTTTATTTAGCTTGCAAAACGAGTTCGTTCAGAAGGTTGGCTTGCTATTTAGGGCCTGTTTAAATGGAGGTGGGGGACGCCAGGTAGTTGAGGTAAAATATTGTGAGTCACCCCACCTATCATGTAAACGTGATCAGATTAAAATGAGAGATTATATGGACAAACGGGTTACCCCACCTAAGCGGGTTACCTCACCTACCTGGGGTCCCCCACCTCCATGAAAACAGGCCCTTAGTCTTCACAAGGTGATACTTAAAACACGAAATGACAGAAAATGCAAAGAAAACAAAAACACCAAAAAAGCAATGAAGCGAAGTAAAACAGCAACAAATTTTGAAATGCACTTACCAAAAAAGAAAGAAAGAAATGAACAATAAGAGAGAAAAATGTATTAGTATTATTCACCATATAGGCAGCTTCTCTCATAAATTGCTTAGCAGCAGGTTTCCAAATAGCAGGTACCGTTAAGACCCACTGTATGTCCATAGCATTGTACCCATCATCTCCAGTCACCTCACGGATTATTTCGATAGCTTTATCTTTGAGATATCTTATTGAATGTGAAAAAACGGTGAGAGCTTCCAATTTTCTTCCATTACTTGCTATCAACTTGGCGTTACGGTCCAGACTCTACAGTATAAATACACAAGACTACATAAGAGATGCCTTATCTCACAAGCTATACTTAGCCTACTTAAGGGGTAACGCTTACATATTCCTACGAAATCTCCTAGCAACCCAAATGTAGAAGGATTTGTATGGAGTCATCAGGGCATAACTATGCTAATATCTCAAAGGCAATTTGCCCCTCAATGCTAGTTTTTGGCAAATAGGCCTCTTGGATGTTGTCTTTCAGAATATCCTGACAAATCCCACAGTTTCACTTTTTTATGACGTCACACTTTTGCACCCTATTGAAATAAAATTCAAATAACCAAAAATAGCAAGAGCACGGAGGACCATGGCGCGTTCTTTCTTTTCCTCTCTCCACAGTCTCTCTGTGGCACACTAATTAGGTCTCTGTGGCCGAGTCCTTATTTTTCAGTTATTATGACTGTAGATGCAGTCATCATTTGCGTGCAATGTTTTTGTTGGGAATGTTACGCAATCACTGTCTTCAAATGCAGCAATATTCTTTTTACCGCGGGATAAGCATTAGGATATCTAACATAGGAAACAAATTTTCATAACTTAAAGATTTTACCTCAGATTTGTGAAGTGTCATTTTAAACCGTTTGAAGTACATATACTGTTGATCTTCCCCGCAAAAAAAGTTGGCGTATTTTTCATCTGCTTCAAATCCAAATGAATCAAACTGACCGTCGGGACGAAGAAGCAAAGACGTCGATGTTTTCAGAGTGGAAAGACCTTGCTCGTTTCCCCATGCCTTGTTCATATGGATACCGCCTTCTCCTTCCTTGTGGTTGAAGGCAAAAGCGAAACCGCTGTACGTGGTTCCAAAATCAATTGCAACTACAGCAATGTAGCTTGAATTATCAGAAATCATCAATCCTTCAAATGCTAAAGTATGCAACGAAAAAAAAAACAACCATTTATAGAGCGAAGTTATCCACATTAGCCTGTTAATACAGAAATTGTTCCCACTGATACCCTCGGTAAAGTTTTTGTCGAGTTCCGCCTCGTTTATATTCAATTATATCATGGTTTTATACAGTGCTTATCCCTTATCACTTTACTTGGGTGCTTCACCCTATACTCAACGCTTTTTCTTGCAAAAGTTATGGCTGTCCCTGATTTCATGTTTTTCTCCAAAAATGTGTCCAATAAATGGTTCTCTACCAGGGATATTTTTATGCAATAACCATGCGGTGTCAAAACCGATTTGCGGTGCCTTGGGGTCGTTGGTGGTTACGTTGGGGTGGCAATGAAACTGACATGATATAAAGTTGGCGATTTCAGATATGCAGCCGATTTTCAAGAATATCTTCGGGTCAAAGGGAGTTCTCTTTTTATTAACAAATAATGCAGTGAGCATATTCCACTTTCATTTTCACGGAATTCCAAGAATTGCTCGGAATGTTTAGTTCACTGTAATTTTTGCTAAATTAAAGCGAGCCTCCATAAACATTTTTTTCGTAAACTTCTGCAGTAAAAATATAAAATATTATGGTTAAAATATCATGAAGGTTATGAAGGAGAAGGAAACACGCACACTCACACAATTATAATAAAAATACTATTCCTGAGATTCAAACTTCCGTTTTTTTTTGCCTGCGTTTACAAGACAGAAAGAACTTAGTATTAATCAGATATTGACATTATTTCATCAGGCTCAAATGTTAATTCGAGTCCTCAAAATTCGAAATGTAGTTTTAGAAATAGGCAATTTAGAGACGTTTGAGTCTTTCCTACTTCAGCTTCTAATAATATGAAATCAAACATCCGTAAACCATTGGAAGTTGTAATTCAGCAATCAAGTTGAGTGAAACAAAACTAAGAAGATGAACGCGCTTTTCGGTTTCCTCAAGAACGCTAACATTGCAAACACCTGGGATCGACCCTAATGTATCACTTGTTATTCGAACTTAAACACAGGTATCTAAGTCATTGTTGATTTTATCTAAAACGCCATCAAAACCCCTAGTAATTTATAACTGACTAGAACTTGTCGGGAAAGAGAAGTTTTGACTCTGTTACCTTCGTGATCCATTGCTTTTCCCTTGAAATTTCCGGCGTAAGATCAATCTTCAAAAGTACTAATCTGAACACATCCACAGTCTCAGCAATATCAGCCAATTCCAAGAAAATCCTTATGGCCCGAGGGAATTTTCCCTAACTATTGAAGTGAGCATTGTTTTACTTCCGTTTCGATTTCTCGGAAAGTGCTAAGGATTCATTCCAAAAAAGGCTTCGGTCTTTGTGTTTCATAAACAAGTGTTAAGCATGGTTCAAATGTTTGCTGAAGAAGGAAGAAAAAATAAATATGCGTCTTTATATAACCATAGCACCTTTGTGGTTGCTTCCATCGATTCTTTGGTGTTCGACACAACTGTCGAGTCTGCCTATGTTACCAAGAATATTGAGTCCCATTGTCCCATTGTATTGGTTGTGTCTCCAGTCGAACAACTATGATCAGGATCTATTTATGTCCTGCGCAGCTGCTTTTTGTGTCGTCACGCAATGCTCTTCACTCGTTCTTGATTAGTTGTCATCAGCAGTTAATGAACAGCAGGCGTTCTTTAGCCAATCGCAAAGGTAGCATTCACGCGGAAACAGGGGAAAAGAGAAAGCAACATTAATGAGCCCAAGTGCCTGCAACAAGTCATTTGGCAACCCGAAAACGCTCATCGGACAAAATAATTTTCCCAAGTTCTGCCACTGATGATATCGTCCACACTCTTGTAAATCCGTCTATTTTTGCCGCAACCATGTTCCTGAGGCTTCAGTTAACAATAAATTAACTCGTTTAATTAAAATCCGCATTTAGTTAATTTAAATAATATTTCACGGTCTTGCACCCTTCTAGAACAAACGGTTCCGTTTCCAAGAAAGGAAAAAAAAACTCTAGCGCTCCTTTCAACGAATAGCCGTTTGCGGTTGAGTAACATGTGGCAATCATCGATCGATATTCTCATTTAGTTAGAATTTTGAAACAAAGACCTCCACGAGTATACACCTTATTTACGAGAGACCTTTTTTCTACGAAACAGCATTCCTATTTTGGTGTCACGCACTCTGAAAACTAGGAAGTTCCAATTGCTGTATTTTCGAAATGAAACATGCTACGGGAAAGGAAACTTGTACAAAAATTTATTTTCTGTTTATCTTTAACCTAGTGTAAATAAGAATTCGTAAAACTTCGCTATTTTGACTTTGCAATTTGATGACGTCACTGTGAAAACCATCTATATTTCCCTAATTTCTCATGAAAGAATTTTCTGTCATTACTATTATTATCATTATCGCTATTATTGTTAATAATAATATTATTAATATTATTATTAATAATATTATTATTAATATTATATTATATTTTTATTATTATTATTATTATCATTATCATCATCATAACTATAAAGAAATTCTCAAATCTGATTGGCCATCAGCAGCCCTGATTTCAGCATTAGTAGGACTGTGTAAGAGGGTCTAAAAGAAGAGTACACGCCACTCCGTATGCGCTCTGACATGTTCTCTTTGACGATCTTATATAAAACTAATATATTACAAACCTGGTTATAGTTATGACTAATTGGAAGCAAAACTTCGTGTCGTCCAATTGGGTGTAACTCTTAATTAAACAAATCGGACTCCTTTTGTCACTCACTCGTATTAGAACAGACCGAATTAAACTCCACTCAGTTCTATTACCATTTTATATATTAATTGTTTTCTTAATTTCCATTACGACTTTACAAGCCGAAAAAACTAGCACTATAAGCTTTTTAGCAACCCCTACGACGTTGAGAGCAAAACAATCAGAAAAAGTAATTTGTTTGATAATTAAAAGAAACAAAATGGTGTGTTTGCTGAGGAGGAATCAAGTCAAATTGCTTAAAAGTGCCAATATTGCAGCTTCAAATGATAGGCTTAATAAGCACAAGAAATAGATACTTTAACTTTAACTCTCATTTTAGTTACAGCAATCTTGTTATCAGTATCCGTTTGTGAGTCTCACTGTCTTAAATTTCCTGGATAATTCTTCATAACTAGTTAGTTTGACCAAGTTTGGAAGATGTTTGCCTATGCCAATGCAATTGTCGTCAATTGTACTGATTTCGACAAAAAGGTACAATAGAAGGCACGGTAGCTCAGCTGTTTTTGGCAGAGGAGGAAACTTTGAGGAATATTTCACACGTCAAGCGAAGACGAAATACCCAAACATGTGCCAAAAGACAAGGCAAGAGAAGCAAAAATACCCACGATGAATGTAAGTTTAACTGATCCGTCGTCAATCACCTGGTTTAGGGTGGCGTTTATGCAAATCAGAACGCAACGCGCTCGCACAGCTTCACCAGCTTGTAGTTCTTTTGAGAGGCTTATGTGAGGCGGGGTAAAGCAGAACTAAATATGACTCGTGAATAGCGAAGAAAATTGCACTGAGGAATGGTATTTTGGTCGAGAGAGGGATGAAGGGTAGCAGACATTACTTTATTCGTGAAAGTGGGAGAGACATCCGTTAGAAATATCAGAATAATGATCAAAATGTCAACACAAACCAGCTGATTGAGCAAACAGCAGAGTATCGCCTGTGGTATGAAAAAAGCTGAAAAGCGAAAGCTGCCAGTGAGTAAAAATACAATGTTTTAGTTTAGTTTTGACCTAGTGCCTCAACTCGAACCCAAGGCCGATTTGCAAGAAGGTGAATTCATATTCCAAGGGACTTTTTGCCCCCGTCGCCGTCCTAGTCGCGTAAGCTCTTTATATATCTATTTATATATCGCACCATGTAAGGAAATCATGATTCTGGAATCCGGGAAATTTATGCTTGTGGAATCCGGAATCCCGGAAAAATTGGCATCTGGAATCCGGAATCCTAGGCTTTAGAATCCAGACTACAGCTCAAAGAATCTGGAGTCCCACTAACGATTGGAATCCAGAGTCCAAGTTCCACTGACAAAGAATGTCTTGGATTCCCTTCCATGGGGCGATGTATGACTTCACTGTTTTTCGCTGCATTTCAGGGATTATTACAAGAAACTCCAATTCCTCTCAAGGCAAATTCCTTTGAGCTTGATGCGTCAGCGCCTCACCCCAAAGACAACGTCAAATGGCATGATACTCAGATGAATCAGTACATCTTTAAAAGTTCCTTCCACGCTCATCCGAGTTCCTGGACCTGTACTTGTGGGGCTGACGCTTACTCGGCTGTGTGCAGGAATTATAACTGTACCTATTAAACTTAAACCTACAATAAACCAGGTTGACAGTTAACAAAATAGATTTTAAGACGAGTTTAGAAATTCTAGGTCACTTTTTAAACACAGTAAACATATATATATTTTTAATATTTGAAAGATTTCTGGCGCGCTAATTGGTAGAGAGGTCTGGTCAATGAAGCCTCTGCCAGGTTTAAGATAATAGGGACGTCATGCAGTTCTCTCACTCTCTGCTCATTACTATCTTTCACCCCATGAGATTTTGCTCCTATGGTGAACGAAGCGTTTCCCGGCCAAAGAGACCTGGTTTTCGTAGTCGTCCCCGTCTAAGAATCTAAAGCTCTCATTATCAGAACGACCAAGACAACAACAACAGCATATGAAAAACACACCTCTATGATAGAAATACAAAGCCACTGCTCATGTCACCTGTTTAGTGGTTTCAACATACGCGCATTAAATTTTATGGGTAAAGAATATTCCTCACCAGGTCTCCACGGAGTACTTCTCTCGCCTTACATTCTGCCCGCAGGAGGCTGGTACTTAGGAGCGGACGAGATTACGCTGTTGTACTGCAAGCACGAAGCAAAAAAGGAAACTACAGCAAAGTCTAAGACAAAAGATCTCCACAAAATGAAGGAAATGCAGTGTAATTTTTCGGAAATTATTCTATGAAAACTTTCTCTTGTCCTAAGTTACAGCAGGACGATAAAACGCAGAGGGAAAGAAGGTTGGGTACCGTGCAAGGATGTACGAAGCCTGATTCCGCTTACGTTGTTTTCTTCCAACTACTTTTGTACTACAGGACATATTCTTTCGACTACACGCCCGTCTTCAGCAATGGATTAAGACTAAGCTGTTGCCTTGATGTGACTAGAGTAAACACTATTTAGTTTGTAATATTTGTAGTGCGTGCAAAACAGCCGTTGTAAGTGCCACTGTTGAGAAATAATTGGATAGGTAGGATGGGCAGGAGGTATGTTTAAATAGAGGGAGGTGTCTCGGTGTCAGCGGCTAAAAATAGGAAAAAAAGAAGTTAAAGTAATCACAATAAAACAACCGACGCAAGCGATTAAAATGCGTACCCACCCCTCCACTGGGTGTCTTTGAGTTGACAATAAATTTTAAAATTAAAATTAGGAGGTTTCATGTCGCAGTCGTGCAAAACGGCTAAGAAATGTACCAAAAAACAGTGATGCACGTGTAAAGTTGTTGTTTTGCTAATCTAAATAGTCTCGTTGCCGTCGCTTGCTTTTTTCAGTTCTAAAGTACAAGGGGGGGGGGATGGATGCCACCCCCTAAGGTTATTCTGAGTTTTTCCTAGAGGATAAAACATCAGCAACTAATGTATTTAGTAGGTGTTCCTTTATCCCTTGCACGCATTTTGAGACAAGTTCAGTGATGGTCAGTTTCTATGGTTACGAGGTATGACGTCATGAGTGGCAGGTGGTCAGCCATTTTAAGTGAAAATGCATGTTTTTTCAACTTTGTTCAACAATAAAAGTAAATCTTGTGGCTTAAATCATGCAAAGTGCTTATTTATATATCAACCCAAAAAAAGTGCCATTTAGTCGCGGTTTTAACCTGATTTCTAATTCTTGGTAAAGTCTAAGATGGCGGCAAAGACGGCGACCATTGTTGGTGACGTCACAGGCCTCCAGCAGTGCCACCATCCTTAAAATAAACCATATCTTGTAGAAAAGATCAAAGGATTTCCACATCGCATATAATTCCCAGTCCATTGAGGTCAACGAAAAATTTCCCGTCCGGGTGGGGGTTAGTATTTTGCCGTTTTTAGCCGTGACACTTTTAAATGAAGCATACATGAGGTAAAAACAAGAAAACGGTCAAAGAGTACTGGAAACAACATCGAAAAATAAAAAAGATGGCGGCCCAAACGTGGAGAAATTTGGCTTTCAAAGACGTTTTCTGGAAATTTTCTTCGCGCTGGCTAATTCAAAGGAAAATAAAAAAAAACAGTTTTTATCACATTCCTTGGTTTAAAAGACTGGTGGTTTTAAAGGCAGACAAGAGATGTCACGATATCAGGTGGACTGGTACTGTTCGCGATTTCTGCAAACTTTGGTTGTAATCTTTCCGCGCAAGTCTACGCAGGTGAAGATCCATGCAAAAATGGCGATTTTCTGGTTGGCTTTTAGCGCGAAAAACACATTGAAATCCGATAAGCTGGCATTAATTGAAGGTAAGATCTTGAATTTGATGTTTTTTCATATTAATATTCCGGTGGTACCCATTGAGGTTTGGTTACCAGTAACTCACGATCAGAGACAAAAAACTCGCAAAGTCGATTCAGTCTTATTATTCCGCCATATTTTAAAGACCAAATCGTGCCTCGAATGTGGCTCAAGCCTGTTAAATTCCCGGATGTGACCGGGCACTCTACCCGACGAGTGAAGGCAAAATTGTTTCGACATACTGCAACATATAAAAAACTCTGGGGAGGGATTAAGAATTAGGTGAACAGAAATTAGGCCCTCGTCGCAAGCCCAGGTCTTTACAAAAATTTTACATTAAAGCGAAAAATATCATATATTTTGGAACAACCTGATTATTTCAACCGCAAAGCAAATAAAAATATTTTTAAGGGAGACAATCACTTTCCTGTTCTAAAACGCGAAGCTTTTATTGAGGATTTCAGCAATCTATATTCCATGTTTGCTCCATTTTAGTAAGTAAAAATAATGTCAAATTATCAGACTTTAATGGCTACTTTTTTTTTAATGTTGGATAGTGAACTGTAAGGGGGACGTAGAAATGAAGTAGCTTATATTTTACTTATCTGGCAAAAAAAAAAATCATTAACGTAGCGTGGACTTAAAAAAAGTGCGGGTAAATAACAAATTACTATAGCAAGCAAATTTTAAAACCTGAGTGAAAATAAAATTTCTCCATCCATGCGTTAGGACAAAAGAATGATTGCCGAAATAACTGTTTTAATCGGCTGTGCTCAAATGTTTTCGTCTAGAATGAATTCTCGCGTGTAGTATTGGACAACTCCTTTATGATAAAGCAATTCTTGAGAAAGGGTCGCTGAAGTCTTTCATTTGTTTTAGCTATCATTTGATGTTTTATTTTTTCCTTAAAAGAATAATATATTGTCCCCGATCAACAAAACTGTACCTCCAAACCTTTATTTGCCAAATAAAAGCTCTAGCAACGCAAATGGACATTTCATGGCACACAATGGCCTAATCTTATCATAGACGAACCCTGCCTTGTACTGAATTCATGGAGGATTATTTAAAATATAACCGCGAATAAAACTCTTTCATATATTTTCCTCTATCTTTTTCAACACGATGCTTACGTCCTGAAATCTCAGCTTTAAAATTGTATAATTTATTCTTAGGGCGAGGAAGAAGAAATCTGATTAGGTTTCTGTTTGCTTTGTATCTGAAACGGAAACAGTTATATGATAATAATATAAAACTTGTGTTTGCTAAGCAAATATATCCGAAGTGTAATTCTTCTTCAACTTCCTTATCTAAGAGCAAGCGTGGGAATAAACTTTAGACAATCACGAAGCTCTCAGTAAATTCGTCTTTATTACATTTTTTTTTATAGGAGAAAGAGTAGATATTGCAAAACCATTTAGTTCACCAATTTTGTTAAAGAAAAGGCACACTACATTAAAATGTTTTTTTAAATACTTCTTATGAATGACTGCAGGAAAAAATGGAAATTCTCATTAGAAATAATATTCAATTCGTCTAAGTTAAATGCAAATTAATAAGTTTGCGCCGGCTTCAATTTCATCTGAAGTTATTCCTTCATGGACTCTTTTGTTAACGGAAATTTCCCTCCCAAAGGTGGCCAATTGCGCCTGAAAAAATGTTTGCTGCCTCAGTAAGTTCCGAACTAAACGTAAATTCCGTGAAGATTTCGAGTATAGGGAGGAGGAAACCGGCACATTTCATGGTGTTCAAAGAGTACTCTCTAGGTAAGTCTGGCCACTAACTGCGCTTAAAAATCTTGTAATTGTTAGCATTAAGACAGCAGCTGGTTGGGCGTTATAACAATGATCGATAATAAGGAATGAAACGGTTTATTAAAAAAAAAAAAGTTGAAATGCAGTAAAAACCCACGACTTAAGAACCTCGATTTTTCCAATTTAACCTAAACAGGTTCTTATATGAATGGCAGTTAGCACAATTTTAGCCTGTTTAGGTTCTTAAATAGGTTCTTATTTTCTGAAGAAAAAAAAAAACAATATTCCTCAAAATATAAAATCTGCATGTGATGAGGAATCTATGTCTCCAAAGAGGATTCTGAATGTTGACTTATCTTATTTGCCCAAGTGTACAGAATGTTTTCACAGGTTTTAGAAAATAAGAAGCTGTTTCAAATTTTAGCCTTAACAGGTTGTATATAGGGGTCTTACTGTCAAATTTTAACCTAACAGGTTCTTAAAATTTAGGTTCTGTTGCGGGGTTTAATGACTGTTTCTACTAAAATCATATTATTCGATGTTGACGCGAACTGGTCCCTCTGTGTTTTAATGAAGGGGTTTAGACTGTTTGAACTTGGTCGGAAGTTACATACAAAGATTTCGCCTTTTTGCTTATGGTTGTCACGGATTTAGCCACCGTGATCGTGACTGGTTAAGTTTCGAGCGCGAGCACCGGTCGAGAACGAATTGTGTTATACGATGGTTGCATAATATCTTGCGTGAGCGTTTTAACTTCCTTGTAATAGTATAAAGTTGCTGTTGTTGTTTTTTTTTGTGCAGGATCACGTCACAAATGAAGAACTATCCGCTCATTTAAGCTCTAGCAAGATCAGTGAGGGAACCTTGAGAATAGTTGTAAATGCTATTTACTCTTAGTTTTGATTAAAACTAAAGTGGTTAGCAAATAATTGCCTCAAATGGCAGAATTTCAGTCATCCCGGGTACAAAAAGTAAAAGTATCAAAAGCATGGAAAGGAAAAACATTAAATCAATATTGTTAAAATGCAAAATGTGATCGCAAATAATAGGAAAGGCACATTGATTCAATGTGATCTCGAGAGTCAATAACATTTTGAAAAATCTTTTTTTGTCTCCTGAATATTCTCACTTTTGTGTATTAATAGCAATTCAGTTACTGGCCACACGAGAACTTGGAAAAACAGTTTTAAACAAAATTGAGAGTATGAAAGAAAATAGTCAAGACAAATTAATGCAAAATCTTCGGTGATGATATAGTGATACCGCTTAGAATCTTGTTTCGCGTAAGAGTCAGAATTCGGGCACAACTCGACACCAACATAAGAAGCATTTCACAGGAATGAATAATACCGTCTGGTTATCCTCCGTTTACTTCAATCCTCAAATTGTGCAAGAAATCAATTTCATTTTTTGTCAAATTTCTGCTCAAAGTTGACGTGCTGAAATAGGCTAGTGCCGGAGTTCTGATTTAGTGTTATACGGAAGTCAGCTTTCGTCAGGGTACTCTTTCTCCAGCTTTTAAGATAAAGCCGAAACTCCTATCAACATTTTTGTAGAAGTTTAAGACTCTTACATGTTGTTTAATATCTCAGAAAACGACGCCCGCTCGCTATTTTTAATAATATTTTTATATTTTTATAATAATGGCTTCCGCTGTTACAAATACGAAATAAAACTTGTTGAGCTGAAACATACGAAATATGCTGACAACCAGGAAGTAGAAGCAATGCCCGAAAAATTTTCAAGTTTTGTCAACACAATGGCCAGGCTTGCATAAAAGAAGCTGCTCTGCACACTAGCTGCATCATTCGACTGAGGATCTCTTGAGGAATCCAAATAAGAAAGAGTCGACATTTTATTAACACGATGGCTCGATTGATGTTGTTTCTTTTGCTGATCGCCCCTTCGATTCTTACCTCTACCGCTGAAAGTGGACAAAAGGTAATTCAGTTTAAAATATTGCGTTTTCACCAAGACAATTATTTTAGCTTAACTCTTCCCAAGTTGAATGTGATGGCGTTGATTTTCGCGCTTAATATTTTATCCTATGGCGTATTATGGGCTATCGATGCTTACCCTTTGTTCACACGGAGGTCACAGAGGTCGAAAATTTGACTGGCGTGGTGTGTACACCATGGCCGTTGAAATTCTTGTACGCCAAAGGTGTGGTTGCATGGATGAGTGGTTATTCAGCTGGGAGACGCCATTTTAGATTTGCTGAAGTAGGCAGAAAAACCATCGTAGAAATTAGAATTCGACCCGGTTTGTCATTTTCATGTGAACAGAGTGAAAATTTTGAACGGTTCCGCATGATGCCGTGATTTGAACGCTAAAGAACAATTGTCTGACAGGCACGCATTACATTATGCCTAGGGCTTATTGAATAAAAGGGTAAGAATCTCATTCACGTGCTTCGAGTAAAGAAACCCGTATTTATATTCCTATTTACATAATAATATATATAGCGAAGTTACTCATTTGTCTATAATCAGTTATTAAATACATGAATAACAAAATGTGGTACCATTTCTTATTTTCCATGTGTTTTCGCAGGCCTTTACATTCAAGGTATCCAGAGATAAGTTCGAAAGGATCACAGTTGATGCTGACAAGAACTCAGAGACTTTCTCTTTGCGTCAAGCTTCGTCGGGCAAGAAGGAAGGAGACTATGTCTACGACTTCAACAAGGTCAATAACTAACATAAAAGGTCAAACCAATCAAAGTAATCTAAAACTGGGGTCTTTTTTTTTTCGATTTATGTTCAAAACTTGAAATTATTTTTAATGCGATCTAGTCAAACCTTAGTTTCCCTGACTTCTGGTTTTTATAACGTTAAGATAAAAGGCTAATAATGCGAATTTATCACTGTGCAGTTTTGCGAAAACTTCTCTAAAATGGCCACAAAACACCATATTTTTTTTGTTTCTGACAGAACATAAAGCTCATCAGCTAGCACCGTAGTTTTGCTTATAAAGGAAAACACGGTCGGTTCAGAAATCATTGCAAGACCATTTCTCCAAAAACTTTCGAATCGCTCAATGTTTGTGTAAAAGGACGAACACTATAATAGAAGTGCTAACAGAAAAAAGAGAATATAAAGGATCGAGTTTCTGTATTTTAATTATCCTGTATAATAAGTTATTACTAGAGTTTTCAGTTCATAAAATAAGTTGACGGGGGGACGTCTGTACACAGGCTAGTTGACGCCGTTAAAGGCAGAGATATAGTTGACCAAGTAACTAAACAACTGAAGAAAAATAAGAAGCTTATTAATAATAGACTGTCACTTTTGTTAAGTTAGTTTGTTGGGTAAAGGGTAACTTTGATAAAATTTCTTATTAGACAATCGCATTTTTTTTCACTAATCTTTTGTTTCTATTGATCCTCGCTTTGTATTTGCTTGACTTTACTGCAGAACTTGACGATGATTCGATTGCCAGAAGCAAACGCCTGCTTTTTAAGTTACTCCATCGGAAACGTTCCTCGACCTGCTGACTTGCTGAAACTTCTTCAATTGGTACGTGTCTGATGATGTATAACTGAACGAGATTAAAATTAGCGTCAGGCTAATTTTGAATGTAAGAGTTTGTAACTTAAGTTTCATGGTTACATACAGCAATTGATATTGGAAATAAGACTTTATAGAGGCCAGTTGGGCCTGTATCCATACGAATGATTAAGGAGAATAGGGCGGGCCACATAACGGTTATTCGATTTGTTGGAAAAACACTGATTACAGACAATTAAGCAGCACGAACGTCTCTCGCCAATTAATCATAACTTAACAAAAAAGACATGCTGGTTGATCCAAAACACAGGAGTTTAGTTTTAACGTCTTTTTTGTTGTTGTTGTTGTTTTTTTTTTAATAAGAAAACAAGATTGGAATTTTGCTGATCCTTGCGACTTATTGATAATTCCACTCGTATTTATTCATTTTTCACACTGGTTTACACGACTCATAGGTGCAGAAGAGTGCAGATTCTAAAGTGACCACTACCTCTGAGGAAAATTTCAAGGTTGTTGGCAAGCTGAGTGACCGTTCGGACTTGAGCGACGAGATGAAGGATCTATGTGCAAAGTTGCCAATTTACCCAATCCGGAAGTTGGACGAGAAACAGAATGACGCTGATGAAATGGAAGACCATGTGCAAGAGTCCGATGAACTAGATGCACCAGAAAGGGTGGCTAGAGGTAATAAATGTTAAATGGAAATCATTTTCGTGAAGAAGCTATAGCAATATGATTAGATTAGCTAAAAGGTAACGTTAGTAGGCCCTGCAAATGTACAACTAAGGATGAACCAAAGGCATCTTCTCTGTCTTTGAAGACCCCTTATACCAAAAACCCTGTTTAATTTAAACCAGATTTAACAAACTAAGAAACATGAATACATTTTCCGTGTAAGCTTTGTATTTTCAATTCCAAACAATGGCGTCGTCCACACCAATCCGGGAAGGCCGAAACTACTAATATTTGTGTCCACACGAATTTGCTGTGTGGTTGTTTCCGGTTTGGATTCACCTATCCTTAAAAAAAACGCCACTGCCGTTTACATTTGCTAACTACAATTTTTTTTTCACTCTTCTTCGATGGCCAGGACTGCCTTTATGTTTAAAATGTTTAAACTTACTAAGCAAGGTTTATCGGACAGTTATGGATGGGTATAAATTCACTAGCCCAATATTTCCTGATCGGTTAGGCAAAAATTAACCTTGATCAGCGGCTTACACAGCAAGGAGTTCATACTTCTGCCAATATATGGTCCCACCAGGCACTTTTACAGACCCTGAACAAACCCAAAATCGGCTGGCACGAGAATGATAACGAGTTGAGAAACAAATTGTTGTCCACCACTTTGAATTTACAAGTCTAGTTTTTAGACTAAACTACAGTTTTTGAATTCGAAAATTCAATTTCAATCGTCTAATATACAGATCGGATTAAAAAAGAGAGCGATTTGTAATAGATGCGGTTTAGACGAGGGGATTCACTGGTTTCGCGTGGCCGACTGGTGTAAAAAAAAACAAAAAATAGGTGTTTTCAAAAGTCGTATCAACACTGTGTACCAGGGTATGAATTAATTCAATATTAATAGTTTTGGTTGTCTTTCATGTATGTGTAAACTTTGTAATGACTATACTTACTATACAAGAACCACGCAACTCGGTAAAGATAAAAATAGTACGTCCAAACACTAAAAAGTACTACCTTACTTCAAAGCTGTTTGTCCAGTTCGCATTTGAATAACCTGAAAAAGATATAACTCCTCTACCGTCTGTTCTCATAGGCTTAATAAAGAAACGGGTGTGCAAACAAGTTTGTAATAACCTGCGCAAATGCGTCAGAGTCCCAAGCGTTAGCTGCAGCTGGAGCGGCTGTAAAACTTCTTGGAGTTCAAGATGCTGGACGGTAAGGAGCTGCCCGCAAGTCTGCAACTGGGTTTGGGAGAAAGCCACAGGATAAAGCATGCTTTTACACAATCATTCTCAACAAGTGGCCGCGTAGAGTATAACGTAAATATATTAATTAAGGTTTAGAAAATTTATACCCGTTGGACAGCTAGGCTAAGTTATTTGCTTCGGCAAATATTATCAAGAGGATCTTCTGACTGAAGGTACTCGGACACGACTTTCAAAATATGTAAGAGGACTTACGAGGTCTTAAATAATAGCACTATAATTTAAGGGGACTGTTGGAATAAAAATAAAGGCAAATGCCACTTCATGCATGCATAAAAGCCTCAGTGTGTTTTTTAGACGTGTTAAAGAGGGACGTGCCAAGGGTATTGCCTGGCGCCCCTTTCGCTTGTAATGTACACTGTATGACCGGAAGGTAGGGGTTATTTAAGAATTTGTTCATGCTTAGCGTGCGTATATCGAGTTATGGATGCACGCGGCAAGTTTGGAGAGCACGAAAGATGCTTCTTGAGTGCTCTACTTCCCAAGTGCATCCATAACTCGATATACGCACAGCTAAAAGTATGAGCAAATTCTTTTATAACATAGCTGCCAAAAATGCTTGCTTTTCGATTAACTACAAAATTCTCGTAACGCGCGACACAATAACAAACGCTTCTATTGACTGATTACAAAGACTCCACAATCGCCTAGTTTGAATGAAAATTCTTTCTGTAAAACTGAGAAAGAAAATTTCCTTATTTATTCGTTAACGATCAATGAAAACTAAAAAGAAACAGAGGTAAAAGAGTCTTAAAGTCCACCTAAAGTGAAAATACCCACATGTTGGTAAGAAGTTGTGGAGTATGGTGGGGATTTGCTTAAAAGATGTTTATGTTTTGCTTGGCGAAATCCAGAAAACTTGTTTTCCAGCGAAGACGACTGTCATCCTACGTGAACCTTATATTCATTTACGAACAATGGCTGGTCATTACGGCTTCTTGAGAAGACCTGGCAGCAGTTGTTTTTGTGAGTAATAAATTTATGTCTTCTTGTGTAATTTGTCTTGTTATTGCAAGAGAAATTTCCCTGCGTCAGTCGGATTGTACGGCGATAACAAAAGTGTACAATTTTTTGCTGTTGAGCTTACTTTATAATTAACTGGTTTTGTAGGATATAAAACAAACGTTAAAAACGGAGGACACTTTATACAAATTGGATATTTTCCGACACAGACCAATTTGTGGTCTTTTTCAAAGTAAATGTCAGTCTTTACGGCAGACTTTTCAACGAATCATTCAGGCTCTATTATTTGCCAAACATCTTCACCGCTTTTTCTGTTGCTTTGAGTGGCTAGAACGAAGCTAAATTCAAAAAAAAGTCTAGAAAGTTTTTTATCATTGTCATCGATTTTGGGTACTTAGCCAAAAGGGACGAAAAACACAGCTGAACACGTCATCCTATTTACGCACGGGCGTGCGTAAATAAAGATTTTGTTCATAGCGGCTCAATAGGATTTATATAGAGCAAGTACGCGCCCTATGTTATAATTCCTTTTCTCATGAACTAGCCTCTACAGCGGGGCACAAATAACTGTTAATAAGAAAGTAGACTTTTAAACCACTACTTTGTCCTAGCTATTTAGTATTGCCCACCGCCCTTGGGACAAACCTTTCTTGACAAACAGTCACGTGGTATTGATCATGTGCAGTAGCATATTTATTCGTAGTCGTAGTCGCTGTAGTCGTCGGATCTTACATCTATTTAAACCGGGACTGTTTTGTTTGCTTCCTGCCACCAGGGTGGCTTAGTAGGCTCTACCTCTATAACTTCAAAACCGCTCATGATACGAGCATCAAAATCTCACAGAGTAATTTACTCATCATTTCCAACATCTAGGCATAACTTGATTGACACCATGACGTAATTTGATGTCATTAAAACGTTATACTGTTGAATTTATTGGCAAAATCCAAATTTCTCTCAAAGTGGTTATAAGGCGAAACTACATTTAAAAATTGAGGTGTCTGATAATATCAAGAAGTTAGCAAGATCATTAATGATCTTTAAAACTAGCTGGGATGTTATGATGACGTCATTTATTACGTAAATCTGAAACCATCTGCCATCTGATTTACTTAAATGTATCCCTGTATAAATCGAGGTAATCGTGATAGAAAATTTCATCTGCGTATAAAAGGAAGCTTAGGAAGCAAACAAAAATTGACAAGTTATCAAATTCCGAGAGAAAAAAACGCTGTTGAAAACTTTCCCGCCCCCCTCCCCCCAGGGGGGAGGGTGGGGTACAACATGTTTAGAGTGCCAAGCTCATGATTACCATACCCATAAAGCTTGAATACTGTATGTTGCCCAGTATACGGCCGGTACCAGTATGCAGTCTCTTAAAACAAAAACTTAATTTTTGAGGCGTCGTTTTCAGTTCTCGGTAAACGAAGTATTTCGAATGAAAGCTGAACATTTCAGCTTTAAGATGAAAGTTTTGGCGAGTTTACAGCTTGCGAAACAGTTGTAGAAGGCGCCGTTCGGTTCAGGTGAGTAAACTTTTCGTTGCTAATATTTACGCTGTTTAAGTAAAATTAGTGCTGCTCAGAAAAGGGTAGGCAATGTGTGATATTTTCAAAGAAACTGTTTTATATTTAAAGTGAAGACACTTAAAGAAGTCAGGTTCTCAGAACTTTTATCAATTCTTCTTGAAATTCGATTTGTTTGGAATAACGGAGGCAAGAAACATTCACTATTGATGTTAGGTGCCCAGTATCCGGACAGTTTTTTTCTTTATTGCTGTACAGAATCGATAAATTAGCTGAGTGCATTTTCCGGATAAGGTTTATTTCATATCTAATATATAGATTTAGCCAGGGCTAAAAGCGAATCTCTCGATAATATTTATAGTTTGCTCAAACAAAATATAAAGTCATGTTATGCTAATCGGCGAAGGCAACGAGAACCTCACGGTGAAAAAACAACAATAGGTCTAATTAACAAAAAAGTAACTTTGCATGCGCAGCACACTTTTTTTGTACATTTCTTTGCCGTCGTTTTGCACGACTACAATGTGAAGTGAAAATTCCAAAACATTCCTAGCTACACGTTTAATGGAGGAAATGTCGTACATGTTGTTGTGTTTTTTGTTTTTTGTTTGTTTGCTTTTTTTTTTCACTGCCGCTCATTTTCACCTTGGTGGCCGCTAGCATTTCTGATTTTCTCATCGCCACTTCAAAATTTTCGTGTTGTTTTTCCAACAAAATGTCTCCTTTTGTTTTTTCTGTTTTTTGTTTTTTTTTATCTCTCGCCCTAGCTCTCTGTCGCTCTTTTCTCCGTTTAGCATCGCTGGCCTGCCGCCTACTTTCTCCTTTTCTCTGTCTTTCTCTTTCTCTATACTCCAAATTTGTGGGCACGACAATTAATTTAAGTTTAATACTTTGACAACACGGATGCAGAAACAATTTCCGCTTTCATCTTTATTGACTCTTTAGTTGTCTGTGCTTCACAAGACTTGGCTGGCTATGCGATTTCAAGCCAAAATAACCTAGAGTTGCATTTGTTTTCCATACCTGTTGATTGAGTTATTTTACATTGGTATGCCTGTGCTGCGGACGGACGGGAGGTCTGACGTACGGTCACGTGGTCACCAAAATTCCCATTGACAAGACAAAATAAACGAGGTCCGCAGCATTCGCTATAAGTATTGTGAACAGGGAAGGAAAGTGACTTTTTTGCGCTCGTTTGTATGCGCCGGATAGAAATCGCTAAAATAGACCAAGAACGAGAAGTCCACAGACTACTGC